TTGTAAAGCTGCAGAAGGACCGCAGTGTCTTTAAGGAACTGAACCAAAGGGCGCCAATAAAGCTCAAAACCCATATTATTTTATGATGCACAAACATGTGAAATGTTGCTTGGAGCTTCTACACTTGTTTAAGCATCACTTTTAAATTGTAAGTGCCGGATCGACAGCATCCCTGGATTGTTAAGTAAATCTGCAAAAAATAGAAAAACTAACTTTGCCTTAGACTGTCAGTAGTTGCTGCAGCATATGGTGTATTTTATGCTCTTCTAACTGTATTGCTACACCTTCAGTAGGATGTAGAAAGACGATTTAGCCACATCAGACTCAAAGTTTGTCTATAAAATCTTAATTTCATCGGCTTTAAAGATTTAAGGTGTTTGTTTTATACTCTAAAAATCACTTTTTTTGTCTGCTTTGTTGACCTGTGCTTTCAGATGTAAGCAGTTGTTTCATGTATTATAACAAGGTGTATTTGATGAGTGAAAATGAGGCTGAGGGTAAAATTTCTCAGAATACTAAAAAAGGTTTTGTATAAAAAGGTTGTTAAAGACGATTTTTTTTTTTCAAGAAAAAAAGGTTTTAAATCTATTTAAGAAGTACTGATGGCGTGCATGAATTTGCAAGCGTGGCAGCAGGAAGTGATGTTACGGAAAAGACAACAGACTTTTTTTTAGCTGGATGATTGGACATTAGCAGCAATAGGTGGGGGAGGGAGTGTTCTCGTACTTAATGATCCATACAGCAGGAGGACAATCCAACCTGTTTTGATTTAAAGCAGTAGAGTTTAGTGCTGTGATACGACTTGATGTGTTGGAAAGAGTGATGAAAAGAACTTTGAGAAGCTTTATAAAATGTCAAAATGGCTCCAGGAAAATCATTTCTATTTAGTAGGTTTTGCATTAAAAGCCTTTGAGATTATTTTGTCCGCCGTAGAAGAGATGAAGATAAAACGATTTCTTTAAACCAAAGGCCGCCAAACAAAATCGGCATCTAAACCTTAATACACTCCTGCAAGAGCTACTGTAGGATTTATACTAGCAGTTTATTGTTTTAGCTCCATTGGAGGGTGAAACAAAGGATCTGCCACTATATCAAGATTTCATTTTACATCTGTGAAGGAATAATGTCTTTTTTCCCATTTAGTTGGAGGTGACATCAGTGCAGCGTTAAAAAGAAACTGAAAGACGAGTAAGAAAACAAACGTGGTCAAACCTGTTTTCCACTCCTAATTTCAGCTGCTGTTACAGTAGTTTCTTTCCTCGCCGTCTGCTTTTCCGTCTTTTATACAAACGTTTAGTAGCTATAAAATAAAATCACTGCAGAGCATCTTTTTTATGAGGTTAAATAACATTGTAATCAATGAGAATCATAAACAAGAGTTACTCCGCCTAAATCCGGTTCCTGAAATGCATAAATTTGCTTTTATTCACCATCCTCCGTATCACACCCACAGTTGTAGCACTGTGCGATTTATATACTAATCATATAATGCTTTTTATGTTTAAACAGAAGGTGCAAATATGATTTTATCATTTTAAAGGATCCTTTTTCTCCCTTTAGAAGCTCGAGCGGTGTGTCGCCGTCTCTTTGTGTTTGATCAAACCAGTAATGTTTTTACAAAATATACGGCATAACCTCTGTTCCTATGTTAACCACTTGTATGCTCATAATCTGCTTGGTTATTTTATAGCACATGTAAGACTCAATATACTCACAGGTTATGGATATTTTCTCATTAAACATAAAACCTGGACATGTGTTGGAGTGGTTTATTTATTTTTTTCTTTACAGGGTGAAAGTTGGTTTTCTTTCAGTAAACTGCCTCTAATGAAAAGCTGAAAGAGAAGCTGATGTTTGGCTGTCAGGTGTTTGCTCAGTCTGTTAACATGGAAACCTTTTGTCAGTTGGTTGCACCCAGTTTGGAAAGTACCATGTGGTTAAAGCAATTATGACCTAAATGCCTTTTAGAACCTTTCATATCTTAACAGAGAGCATTTTAGCAACTGTAGGTCAAAATAATTTCCTTCTAAATTTAACCAGCAGCACATTTCTGCGTCCAGCTTCTCCAGTAAATAAAAAATGACAAAAAAAAAAAAATAGGTTTGAAGAAATAGGTTAAGCAATATCAGTCAAAGTTTAAGCAAGTATTATAGATATGATACATTTATTTAACTTTAAAGTTATTTGTGATATGGAGGCTATCATGAAGCAGTGAAGTTGTTTCTGTAAATATAACATGAATTAATTAAAACCAGTGTAAACTGGTTTTAAAACACTAAAACAGCCTAAATGGGAAGTAATGGAGATCATTTTTATTTTATGCTTGTAGATAATTATAGGGAACTCATTGTTAATGATCAATAAAGACAGTTCTCCTTTTTTTTATTAAAAATAAAGATTTTCTGTATATTCCTATTTAGATAACATTTCTTATACTCATCCAGGAAGTAAATAAACATCTAAATATTCTATCATGATTGGTTGCAACTTTTAGAGAATTAGGATTGTGTTTCTTAAACTCAACTCAACTCAAACTTTATTTATAAAGCACATTTAAAACAACCAAAGTGCTGCACAAAAATCACAGTTGCAGAGCATAAGATAAAAACTGTAATCTAAATAAATAAACACAATACAAAAAAAATATTGAACGGAGATAAAATATAATAGGATAAATATTTCAATTTAAATCAAATATATTTTAGAATAAAATAATATTTTGCAATATCTCCACTTATACTTATAAGCCAGGGAGAAGAAGTGTGCTTTTAGAGAGGATTTAAAAACCTCAGATTGAATATGCCAGGGCAAGTTATTCCAGAGTAGGATAATAAACGTATGGTTTGAGTATGAAAATTGCAACTACTTACTTTAAAAAATTTAGCCCCCAGAGAGCTTTTAAGAAGAATTCAGTCTTAATAACAGCAGGAACAGTGACCCTTTAGAGAAAGTTCCTGGGGCTTATCTAGGAATTGTGGTCCCTGTTGCAGCACCTGGATCACTATTCCAGATTGGCCTTAAATGTAGTTTATCCATCCAGGCAGTTGTAGCAGTGTTGTTTTTAAAATATAGGGTTGAATATTCACTAACTCCAGTATAGTATAGATAGGATAGATAATTAACTTCATTAGTCATTGCAGATGTGGATCAACCAGATTTGTCCTCCACACTGAAGCCATCCCTTAGGGCAGCCTGTTTGAGTTCACCTTCAGCTGTGACCCAGATCCAAACAAAGCGAGAGGGGTCTGGCTAACAAAGCAGAGAACAGACTGGATGTAGAGAACAGTCTGGGATCAGCTGTTTTTCATCAGAGCAGCTCAGGTGTCTGGATGGAAACAGAGTAAAACTAATCCATCAAGTTTAAATGTGATTATAGGGGAGTTACTCTTTTATAAACAGGTTTATAATATGATTTTATTTTGTATTTATTTTTATTCCTTACTAACTTCCAGGCAACATATGTTGTTTTTTATTAAAGATGGAAGGAATGTATGCCTAAGAATGAAATGCTCAAATAGTTTTTATTTTATAAGCAGTTATTGTATGATCCACTTTTGGACAATCGTCAATACTTAAGACTTAGAGGGGAACTTAAAGACAACATGCCCAAAGGGAAACACAAGTCAAAAAAGGTAGGGAAACACAGCAGCAGCCTGGGAGCAGCTTGCAGCAGCAGCCTGGGAGCAGTCTGCTCTATAGCTGATAAGGAAGCAGCTGAAGGAGCCAGAGCAGCAGCAGCAGCAGGAGGCTGTGGGTGGAACTGAGTGCTGCAGCATTCTCAGAACACGAGCTCTCTGCTGTAACCACTGGGCCACCACTTCCCCTGAAAACAGCAGAATGTTACACAAAAAAGAAGAAAAATGCAAAGCTAATTATATTGACCTTTATTAACTGCATTTTCTACTTTGAATTATATTTCTATAATAAACAAGTTTTGTTCAACTTTTCTATAAAGCAGGTTTTTAAAGAATCATGGATAGCCTGTTAATGTTGATGGAAATACACAAGGAAAAGGTTTACCAGGAGACAGTTAGTGTAGTAGTTAGTTGAGTAGTTAGGTCGTTAGTTAGTTGGTTAAGTAGTTAGTTAGTTTGTTAGTTGCTTGAGTAGTTAAGTGGTTAATAGTTAGGTCGTTGAGTAGTTAATTGGTTTGTTAGTTAGTTGGTTAGTTAGTTAGTTGAGCAGTTAGTTAGTTAATTTGTTAGTTAGTTGAGCAGTTAAGTAGTTAGGTAGGTAGTTAGTTAGTTAGTTAGTTGAGCAGTTACGTAGCTGATTAAGTAGTTAGTTAGTTAGTTAGTTGAGTAGTAATGTAGTGAATAAGTTTGTTAGTTGAGTAGTTAGGTAGTTAATTTGCTAGTTGAGTAGTTAAGTAATTACTTAGTTAGTTGGTTAGATAGTTGGGTAGTTAAGTAGTTAGTTAGTTGCTTAGTTAGTTACCTAAATTCAGTAATTTGTTAAGTAGTTCGTTAGTTGAGTAGCTACGTAGTTAATTAGTTAGTTGAGTAGTTAGGTAGTTAGTTAGCTAGCTGAGTGGTTAGTTAGTTTGTTGGGTAGCTAGTTGAGTAGCTACGTTTTTGGTTAAGTAGTTATATGGTTAAATAGTTCTGTAAGTAGTTAGTTAGTTAGTTAGTTAGTTAGTTAGTTAGTTAGTTAGTTAGTTAGTTAGTTAGTTAGTTAGTTAGTTAGTTAGTTAGCAAGCATCGGCCTTATAGGAGACAGGACCTAGGTATTTTTCACAATTATTTGAGGTCTAAAACATGATAGATGAGAATGAAACACCATGACTCGAGATCATTTATCAATCATTTATTTAATGCATGACTAAAAATACTAAATAGACTTTGTGATTTCTATAATACAGAATTAAATAATTACATATTAATTCAACCAATATTAAATACATTTAAAATGATATTTACGTTGAGTGTAAAAACAAATTAAAATGTGAAGTTTTTGGGGAACAGGCAGATCGCTGAGTCCAGATGAGGAAATGGGCGTAGAGGGCCCCTCCCAGTCACAACAGGTTGCTTTTGCTTCTCATACTTTTTGTTTTTCAGAGAAGAGAACCAACAGGAAGCTGCCGGTGCCTCTTCAGAGTTTCAGGGATGGTGACACCGAGTTTATCCTGCGGCTTGTTTCGGCAGATCGAGCCGATCGTCGTGCTGGAGCAGCTGGGCAGCGCTCTGTTTGACACCGCCTTACAGATGGTGGTGAAGGAGCGATGCGCCAACATGACGGAGGAGAGCCAGCAGAAAGCCATCACTGACTTCTATATGATCTACAACCTCATCATCAAGCTCTGCCCCATCATGCCTGCGCTGGCCCTGGCCGCACTCAGCGACCGCGGCTGGAGGAGGGCCCCCATCGTTGGGCCCCTGAGCGGTTACCTGCTCTCCAGGCTCACTCTGCTCCTGGTGCTCATTTTCGATCTCCCGCTCAGGGTGATGTTTGCAGCCGCGGTGATCTACGGCCTCTCTGGGGGGTTCAGCGCCTACTGGCCCGGGGTCATGACTCTGGCATCTCTGGGCTCCAAGGCGGCTGATCGCTCCAAGGTTGGTGCTTTAACGCATTTTATACACAAATAAAGTTGGTAAACATGTATGGAACATGTAGGTAAACGTCTATTTTAACGATGTTACAGGAGCTTTTCAATACATAGGAAATTCTTCTACAAGTAATTTTATTCAAACTTTGATTTTAAGGCCTAAATCTGGATAAATCAAAAGAATTAAATCCAGATATAACACTGGAAAGACTGTTTGTTCTTCATTTACTCCTTCCACAATGCCAGTGATAAACAATGATGCTGTTTGCAGAGATATATTAATGGGAAATGAAGTGGAAAGATAAATCAAGTAAAATGAAAAAAACACAGAATGGAAAAGATTGTTTAAGAGAAAAATATACAGTATGAAACTATGGGCACTTTTAGAGACAACATCAAAGCCTTTTTGAAAGAATTAGTGCAACCTGTATTTTAGTAATTAAACCGTTGGTACAATAAAAAAAAAATGAAAAAAAAAAATAATAAAATAAAAAAAATTCTTGGTATCTACTTTTTCTAACGTCCATTTTTGTCCCCTGCACGTTTTACTGTCCAAAAACAATGTTATGCTACAGTTTACAGACATTTGTCTGCCCTGTGTTTGAACTACTGTTGCGTCATTCCATTTTTTGGCCCCTATACCTGGCTGTGCAGCAGGGGTGGAGCTAGATGGGGGGGCCAGGCCACCCCTAGGGCCACCCCTAACCTTTATTTCCGTCTAATACAGACAGTGGTAACCAGGGACGTGGCTAGACCTATTTTAGGGTGGCTGAAGTCACCCCTTCGTTGGTATTAGCCACCCCATAATTATTTTGCGATTTTTATTGTTATTTTTTTATTTATTGATTTTTTTTCCATATAACCCCAAACAATTGCAGTAAAGCACTGAAAACGAGCCACCAAGAAGGCAAGTTAATCTGAAGATAAGTTCCTGTTAGTTTATTTACAAACACAATTATTTATACAATTATTAATATCGTTAGGATATTCATTTCCTTCATTGGCTCCGCGTCCAGCGTCACGTCACGTGGTACACGGCCATCAACTGGACCATAGCAGCTGTGCAGTGCAGCAACAGCGCGCCCTTTGAATCTCCACACAGTCATCGAGCTTGATTAGGAAAGTTATGGTTGCGTGCAGATACATACGGTGAGTTTGCCATTTGATGTCAGCGGTTTACATTTTCTTCACTTTACCTGGAGTGAGGAAAGAGACAATATAGGCCTAATAGCTTGTCTGATTCAGTAGGAATTACGTTACCATGGTGAACAAAGTCAGTGGTGTGGGAAAACACGATGTTGTTGTAGCCTACTAGCATCATTATAATAGTTTTGTCACAGGAGCAGTGATGGGCAGTAGCGCCGCTACATGTAGCGAAGCTATTAGTTTAACTACATTTTCAAGTAGCTTGAGCGTAGCGTCGCTGCTTTATTTATCAAGTAACTTTCCTGTAGCGACGTTATTGTTTTGATCAAGTAGCGACGTAGCGTCCACAAACGCTACAAAATCCAGGGCAAAACTAAGAAATGAAACCAGGTTTTCTATTTCTAAACAACAATCAGCCACAAAACTACTGTAAATAGCAGTTTCAGCTGACGCTTTATAAGTGGTGTAGTAGCACAGGCACACTCCGTAGGGTTAAACAAGCGCACCTTTTCCGAGGCTGTCGTTCTATTGGCTGGAAAGGTTGCTAGGCAACGATCCAACTGCAGTCTGAGAGAGCAAAACAAATCCGCAAGCAGAGCGTAACTGAGACCCGTGCAGAGCGGAGATGGAGGCAAGCGAGAGGAAAAAATATCTGTGATAATATAGAAAATATCTGTTTAAATCTGAGAGAAGAAACAAAGATTTTTGAGAGAAGAGAAAATATTTGAGAGAGAGCGCATGTTTTGAGTGTGAGCATTATAAGTTTTGAGTGCAAGAAGATGAAATTCTTTTCTCTAATTGAAGTTATGTGCTCTTGCATTATGGCAGGATAATTCTCCCATATCTATGTGCCACCAGTCTGATAGGGCGACACTGTGTGATATGGTAGTGCTTCCTTGGGTTGACTATAGTTCTAAGTTGTACGTTTCATATACTGTTGATTTTGTGTTTTCATTAATACATTGTACTTAAAAATACTTCCTTTATTTGCATTAAAACTTTGTCAGACTGATGTGAAAAAGTCTCAAGGATATCCTTCTTTGCAATGATGCTATTGCCTATTGCCTACTGTCCATTTATGCAACTTGTATTTTGTGGTTAAACTTTAGATTAAGCAGAAATCTATCAAAGATAATGCTGCATTTATTGTTAAGTTCCTCACATATATGTGTTTCTCTCTGTGCCAGGTGTAGAGAAAGACATGCCAAAGTCCAGGTCACACACACACACCAAGCACACACACAGAAACAGGGTTATTGCAAAGCAGACAGGGGTTCCTGACAGGTTGTGGGTGCAGGGGAGATGGGGAAAGATGAATGGCCAGGTTAAGGGTTTATGAAGATGTTGGGAGTCTGTTGGTTAGACAACTGTCTTCTGTAGAAGGTTTCCATTATGATGAGTGGCGAACCACTTGCCTTCTTCCATTTATGCAGTAATGCATGGCACCTACCATTTACTCTTTGTAATTTAGCACATTTTAACTGGTGTAGTTTAGTTGGTGAAGTAGCATTAGTGAGGGAAGTGTTTCCCAGGTATGTTGCTCTTAAAATAATGAATTTATAGACAGCGCCTTAGAAAGTGCACTGAAAAAATTTCGGCGCGCGCTACGTGCGCGCAATATCTTACCTAGGGGCTAAGCCACCCATGCCTCTCAAACCTAGTGACGGCCCTGGTGGTAACAGTAGTACTCTTAAGTGGAATATTGAAAACATTTTCATTTTTCATATATTAACAGTTACTTGACAACAAAGACACTGTGGTTAATTATGCACATAAATACACTAAATTACAGAATTCATGCTCTTTTCAGAACCAGATTGTGGCTTATATGGGGTAAAGAGAAAATTATGTGTCTCTGCAAGTCATCTAGGAGTCTTCGGTGAAATGATAGATAAATAACTATTTTAATACAAATGTATTAAATAATCAACTTATGTAGATATTTTTACTTGTAAATATATGTTTTTTGCATAAGGATTACTGATAAAAATAAGTAATGACAATGGAAAAGATGTTTGCCCCAGAACTTAATCCTAAAGGATTTGTATCCACTATATATGCGTCTATTTGTTAGCAAAGGCTGCAGGAAAGGATAGTTTGTCTTCATTTAGAAAATATGGATGTTGTGCTCAATCATTTTCCTGTTGGAACAGTGTAGCTTAATCCTGATACCAATTCCATATCCATACCATCTGTTTGAAATTATTTTACATTGATCAAACTCTGAAGTATTTTATGTAGAAGATTGATGGTAAATCCTTTTAATTCATGATTAAAGCGGCACCAAGATTAGAGGAGAGGTTGTTAAGCTAATCAACTATAATCTTCAGTTCAGATTTTTCAGGAACAGCGTATTATCATGGAGATCCACAACATGTGAATCCCTCCCAAACTCTTTAATGGTCACACAACCCTTTCCTCCAAAACTGAAGTTATCCCAGTTTTTGTTTTCCTTCCACCATTTTTGCTTTCACTTTCTGCTTGGGGACAACAATCCATTAAGTGTCAGCATTTTCAGCACTGAACTTTTGTGGATAACTCAGTGTTTACGCTACATGAAAATGACTATAAATACAATGGTACATCCGTGCATCTTCGACCCCATCTTAGACGTAGGAGCTGAAGATGTTGAGCCTAGACAGCAAGCAGATAAGGGCTGGGGGTGCTGATTCTATGAAATAAATGCTATTTTGAAGAGCTCCTCACTTCTTGACAAAATGGGCTCTATGCACAACTCTACTTCCTGAACTTAAGGCAGCTCCTTTGTTTCCTATCTTTCATTACTGGATGAACTGATTAATCCAGGTGTGTCTAGCCATGGTTACTGAGGTCAGGCACACCTGGATTAATCAGTTCATCCAGTAGAAAAATACAGGAAACAAGTGAGCTGCCTTAGGCTCAGGAAGTAGTGCAGTTATGCATAGATCCCATTATATAAAAAAATATATGTTTTAGTTTTGGTAGTTTTTTTAGTTATTGGACTGATTTTTAAGAGACCAAAATGGAAGAACAAAAAAAAAAAAAAACACAAAAAGGGAAGTGAGCAGAAAAAGTCTCCTTTAGGGCCAGACGTTGGCAAAAACAACCTTGGGAAAGAAAGGCAGCTGTCAGAGACTGTCAGCAAATAGGGTTTGCGGACGTCCCCGGCTACAGCTGATTTACAAAAAACAGAGATGAAAAAGCTCATTCTAGAAGGAGCTGAGATGAAATCTCACTTTTTTGAGTGATTTTGTGCAACTAAATGTCATGCAGAAGTTGGGTTGTTGAGTCAAACTTTTCTCAAGTCTTTGTTTTTGTTGTACCATTTGGGAAATTTTGGGATTTTCACTTTCACATATGGGTTGAAGCAAATCATGAGACTGTTTTCTAATAACTGTTTATTACAGTGTAATAAAGGATTGTGGGGTATATTAAGTTGTTCCTCCAGATGAAAGTTGTTCTCTTCTTTCAGCTATTCTTAGAGCAATCATTGCCTGTTTCTCATGTGCCATGCAGGTGATGATGAGAGTGGAGTTGCTGTATGGGTTAGCTGGACTGGTGGGCAGCTTGGTGTCAGGTCATCTCTTCCCACTCTACAGCTCCAGTTTGGGAAATGGAACCATCCTGCTCTCTGTGAGCACGCTGCTGCATCTGCTCTGCCTCATATTCTCTGTTGTCCTGCTGAAGGTCAGTGAAACGCCATCATCTCTCGGATTCAACAAAGCTTTGCGAAATGTTGAGAGCTGGCTGGATTGGTTTTCAGCTCTCCTCCAACATATTCTCCCAATTATGTGCCACTTAGTGTTGGTCAAGAAAAATAAAACTGAACTATTGCAAGATGTTACAATAGTCTGAGGAAAGTCTTCAGGGGTGTCATTTATCAAAGATTGCATGGGATTTATACTAAAATCCCACAAAATGACAGACAAAAAAAATATTTTAGATTTAACAAACAAACCTAGTGTGCAAAAACAAAAAAAAGCAATTTCCTCGATACATCCCACCTGATAGAACTAGTGTGTTTCCAAGGCTCCTCCTCACACTCAGCCATCCACCTCCCCACATTCAACCGCAAGTATTGCATGTGTATTAAAATGAGCCAGCTGATCTGTGTTATTCCATGGTTACCTATAGCAACCATGGAAAAAAGTGCTGTTAAACCAAAGCAGAATGATTCTTTGGTGACTGAGGTGGGGAGTCAGATACATATGTTTAGTAGGTAGCCACAGTGATGTCGTTACAATTTAAAGGAAGTATTATGAATGGAAACAGATCCTGATGGCTGGACTGATTCTAACACTGATATCCCAGGTGGCAGGCAGAGTTACGCCTCACATTGACTCTTATATTTTATTTTTATGGATAAATTCACAGGATTATCTTGTTTCTAAAGGTTGCTTTGGGCTGAGAGTAAATTAAATATTAATTAGACCTGCAGTGGTCAGAAGCTGTAATTAATGAATCAAATAATAATGATGAATATTTGGATAAGCTGCCCTTCAAACTAACTATGAGATTTAATATTAAATCTCATATTAATATTCTTCAACTGAAAGAATAACGGAACAAAATCATCAAACGTACTGATCATCAATCAGTACGTTTGTTACAAAAAAAGAGAACATATATATATATATATATATATATATATATATATATATATATATATATATATGTAAAAAAAAAAAAAAGTTCTTCTGTAACAAATTTATGAAAAACATTAGTAGAAACATGTTTTGTTTCAGCATAATTATACAGCATTAATTCTGATGGAAGCTCTAACTCGCTTTTTAACTGATATACATACTGATTTAATTGTTTAACTTTTTCACTTACATTTCTAACTTGTTAACGTAACTTATTAACTTGAGTTGGACAAAAATAGTAAGTTTCCTCATATGTGAGCTGCTCATAGGCTTTTTTATGTGTCCTGTCACCATGTTTAGTTATGTTTCAACCCAAATTGGATGTTTGATGCTGATGAGAACTTTGATCTATGATTAATGTTTTATATGCAGTGATATTGAAGGTCTGAGGTTCTAATCTGGCTTTAATTCTTCTCCACATCATCTGTGACCATGTTTCCACACCAAGTTTGTTTTTTAAAATACCCAACCCTTGTGTGGAAAGTGCTGGATTCCGACTTTCTTCCAACCTCTTAATGATTAGATACTTTGCCTTTTCATCGCATTTCAAGGTGAAACAGAGGAGCAGCGTGGACTCCGAGGAAAGCTACCACCTCCTCTCTCACGCCTCCCGTAACGCCCATCTCATCAGCACTTCCAGTCGGATAAACGTGCTGAGTGTTGTTCTTCTGTTCGTGGCGGCCTTCCTCTATGACTTCGCTGTGGGCGGAGCCATTGAGATCCTGGGCTCCTTTGTATTGAAATCACCCCTCAGCTGGAATGCCACACAAGTAACATTAGCTGCTTTTTTTGATTTTCACATCATTCTTTGTTTTTTAATGATTTGCTCCTAACTCAATATTTTTTTTCTTGGTTCATCTGTCAGCCTGTTTTAGTTTCTTTTTTCACGTTCCCTACAGGTAGGGTACGGAAATGCTGCAGGATGCTTGATTTTCCTCACCAGTTTCATCGGCGTCATTGTGTTCCGAAAATGTGTCGGCGATGAAACGATGATCCTGATTGGCATGCTGTCGTTTGCTTTAGGAATCTACGTCATGTCCTTCGCCACCACGACCTCCGTGTTTTACATAGGTGAGATCTCTGACCTGCAAACTGCAGCTTAAAGGTATAGTGAAGAATTTTCACGACTTAGAAAGACCCGCCCTCTCCACTTTAAAAAAATTGCACATGGACAACCCTGTACCCGCTTCCGAGAGGGAACACCTATTAAACGCATGCGAGAGCATGCAGTAGCCCATTTCTCCTCATCCATGCTCTGTTTGAAAGTTGCTGTTTGCATCACTCATACAAGCTTACTTTCCAAAAGAAGATTTGCAATTTTTCCACTATGTCAGACTCACCACCAGTAAGTAAAAACGGGAACATATCATGAAACATATCACCAGAACAATTGATGATTAGGAGAACAACGTTTTCATGAGCCACCCGGGAAAAAAAAATCCTATACTATAGATTTAAATTGACATCCATAGCAGGGAAAGCTGCTGGGATGTCAACATTACGCTGCTTCTTGGCTTTAGAAGTGACTTTAGGAGGCAGTCTGAACAGCATTCTACCTCATTTCTAATTTGGTTATTTGCACATTTCAATTACAGCGACAAAAAGGAGAAGTGGGATTAATCTGAAACCGTAAAGTCTCCCCGCTCATATTTCTAGGCAGTTTCAAAAGCTTGCAGCCATTCAGTCACAAAGCCTTTATATCTGATGTCTGTTCTTCATGGTGCTTTCATTTTGACGCACTAAAATATAGATTATTGACCTACTCTCTGCAGGGATTAATTATGTGATAAAAGAAAATGATTTGTTTTGAATAAAGAAAAAAATTAAACAAGACTGAGCTTTTGGGTGGGAAACTTTTGTTGGTAAACAATCAGCATATCTGTGTTCTAAAACTCAATTGTTAAAGGAATAGTACACCCAAAACATGATTAGCCTTCATTTTCTACTCACCCCCATGCTGAACAACACTCTGGAGTACTTTTTTGATATCTCAAATGCATCTGGAGATCTGGGAGGCTTCTTGCTGTCTGCTGACATTCAAATAATGGAGGTGCCCAGCGCCCGAGGCAGAAAGGTCAATAAAAGTCCACAAAAAACGTTTCAATATTCCTCCATACTGCTCGTCCAATGTATTCCAAGCGTCCTGAGTGGGTAGCATCCAGAATTTACTCGAAACGAAGTCATTTAGAATGTTTTTAGAGCATAAACAGTAGTGTATAGGATTTCCTGAAAGCGCGCACATGCGCGTTCACGACGCTACGGAAGCCGTCAGACCAAACCAGCGCATTCAGCTCGGCAAAGAACTCATGCTCTTCCTCAACACTGAAGTCCTCAGACATTTTTCTTTCGTTGTTTCTTTCTTTGCTCAGGTAAACATCACATTTCTTCTTCTACGCTTGCATTATCGGCAGAGCAGACGCTGAATGCGCACTTTCATCTGGTTTGGTCTGCCGGCTTCCGTAGCGTCGTGATCGCGCAGGCGCGTGCTTTCAGGAAATCCTATACACTACTGTTTATGCTCTAAAAACATTCTAAATGACTTCGTTTCGAGTAAATTCTGGATGCTACCCACTCAGGACACTTGGAATACATTGGACAAGCAGTATGGAGGAATATTGACACGTTTTTTGTGGACTTTTATGGACCTTTCTGTCTGGGGCACCATAGACCTCCATTATTTGAATGTCAGCAGACAGCAAGAAGCCTCCCAGATCTCCAGATGCATTTGAGATATCAAAAAAGTACTCCAGAGTGTTGTTCAGCATGGGGGTGAGTAGAAAATGAAGGCTAATCATGTTTTGGGTGTACTATTCCTTTAAGGTTTATTTTTGGATTTTAAATTCTGAATTGGTTCTCATGTTAATTACTAAAGATAAGTTTTAAAGATTGCACTGTCCTTTCTCCTTACAGCCAGCATTAACCATAACTACTTTTTTTATTTCTCTTTGTAATGTTAATATAATAGTAGTATCGATATGCTGTATAACTAAACAGCTCATAAAAATGTTTTTAACACCAAAAATGAAAGATTAGACATGATGTTCAAGTTTAGAAAATGCAGTAAAATGAAATTGAAGATCATCCCTTAAGGATGATGTTTTGACCCTCACATGAGGGGATTTCACTGGTGTAGAAGTAAAAGACTGTAGCGCTGCTTTTCATGATCATTCTCACACCCTAAAAAATATGTTTAATATAACCAATGAATCGGTAAATCAGAATATTAAAGTCGATTTATTTCAGTCGAAAACATTTCAAAAGCTAAAAAAACCATTAACCAATGCTTGGATTCATACACTCCAAGCATTGATTTCTGCTGTTTTACAACTAATGATGAGAAAAAGAATATAAAAAAATAATAATAATGATTTTTTTTATTCAGAAATGTTGAATTTTGGACTCAAATACTTAAATTACAAAGGACAAATTTAAAAGAACATAAGTACTTAGTCTACTGTAGCCAAGCCCGTTATTGGAAAGTTAAGTGGGTAAAAAAAGAAGTGAACAAGCAACAATGATAAACTTAAAGTTTAAGGAAACTCAGAAGGCAAAAATATGATACCCTGGTAAATGGGAACACATATGAACTGCACTGCTATTATTTTACCTTTCCTGTTATTTTCTAATATTTGAGATGAAACTGTATTAGTGTAGCTACATGGCTGTTATAGTGCTTAGTTTGAAACTGCTACCTGTATTAGCAAGCTGTGCTGCAATGCTAACAGTTGTGTGTGTGCAAACTAGAACAAGAACAAATCTGGCATTAGCTTTTTTCTTCCTTATTACAGTCTTATCTCAATTAAGCTTGCAGGTCATGTTTTAAAAAATATTTTTCACTTTTTGTGTTTTTAGGTCAACATTTTTAATCTGATAGCATCTATAGGGATATGCTAGCTAGGTTGCTTAGTGTAGCTTGCTGTGGCTCAATTTATCGACAATTTTAAGAATCTTAATTAAACATTGTTCAATACGTATCTAAAGAAACATAAAGTTATGCTGGTTTAGTTATTGTGTCTCCAATAAGGGGTGAAAGAAGCCAGCTTTGTAGCAGTGGGGATGACATTTCAGGGAAGAGGAACCTTTACTAATCAGTCCTTGTTTCTCTCCACAGCGCGTTCATTAAACCTCTTTGCACTCATCCCCATGCCAACGATCAGGTCTGTGGTCTCGCAGCTGGTCCCTATGTCCTATTGTGGTAAGTTTCCAATCTGTGCTGATACGTGTGACGGTAGCAACTCCCCAAAAAACACATTTCACATTAATTCACTTGTAGAAAATCAGAAATATCCATCAGTTTTAAAGTATTCACTGTATAGCACAATATCTAAAATATATCTAAGATATAAGATAAGAGCTTAAGGACACCTTAAGGACAAGGGACACTCATTTGAGGACCAGAATGTTCACATTTTGGACAAAGAAGACAGGTGTTTTGAAAGGGGTGTGAAGGAAGCCATTTATGTTAAGAAAGAAAAAAACAACCTTTAACAGAGGGGGTGGACTCAGTTTTCAGCTCTCAAAAACCTTCAATGCAGCGATGGAGTAGAATCCTTCCTGCAATCATTTCAACCCCAGAGTCCAATGCAGGGGACAAAACATCTTGCCCCTAACGACCCCCCTTTCAGAGGCAATAACCTATTGGGTATTGCAGGCTAACAGAGAACCCAAAACAGCTCCCCATTCCTAAGGGCCGTTCTTCCGATTCAATCTGCATGGTTTCTAAGCCAAACAAGTTTTTGGCTATGTTATAATGCTTCGAACTCAAAGCTAATTCTGACATTTTTAAGCAAAACATCTTCAAACTTGGAAACCAAGTCCAGTGGATTGTTTTGTTTTTTTACTTTTTTGGTATGACAATGACCTGGATGACTGAAAATCTTCACCAGCAAGGTAGGATAAGATAGACTTTATTGATCTCACAGTGGAGAAATTCACTTGTCACATCAGCTCAATAGTCAAAACAAGGTGCCATTGGGTATATACATATATACAGTGCGTCACCAATTTATATTTATATATGAAAACAGCTACAGTATCTTATAAGGTCTTATATGAGGCATCTAAAAGCTGGTTTATATGCACCTAACTCCCACTACAAAAGTAAGCAAACCTTTATAGGGTTAAATAACAGGGGGTCAGGCTTTTTGTATGCCGCCCACCTGCCATTTCAGTTACAGTTTCAGTTAACTTGTGTACACAGACTTTGGGAAAATCTCTGCAGAAAATACTTTCATTTCCTGTAAGACTGACCGGTCCTGTAATGCTGGTCTGTCCAGTTCATGTCTTCATCGTACAGCAAACACTGAGACACACCATGACACAGCCTTTGTTCATCCATCTGCGTTAAAATCTCTTTCACCATGTGATAAAGACTGTAAATGGTCATTGAACACACCCTCCTGTGAATTTATTTTAGGATTTCATTCTTTGATGTGATCCCCTGCACATTTGCTGCCTGATATCTCTTTTTTTTTTTATTGATTGACTTTATTGATAACACAGTTGAGAAATTAACTTTTTTTTTTGGCATCCATTAGGTATGGCTCTCACGCTGCTGGAGATGACCCTTAAAGTGGCTGGCGTCGCCTACATTCCCACCTTCACCAAGATCTATCAAAGCTCTCTCAACTGGCTCCCAGGCTTGGTGTTTTTGATCTCCAGCATCATCACTGTACTTGCGATGATACCCATCAGGTACGCCCCACCTAAAGCTACTGAGTAAACTGTATCCGATGAACCCTTTGTGTCTCATTCTCAACGATTCTCTCTGTGCCGTTTCCTGAAGCATCGTCGGCTACATTTCGGCTCAGAACAAGCAGTACGTGAGGATTCAGGGAGACTGAAGAAGCAGCACACATACAAGCAGTGAGTTCTTTTCTAAAACAAGCCAACTGGGAAATGAGACTTTAAGGGAAATGTTAACATGCCACTTCCTCAAATGTTGGAGCTAAAACTGTGTTTTTTATACTTGCCTAAACGGCCTTAAGTAACATTCAATGTGGTGTAAAAAGGCCTGCATGGACACTTAACATGAGTAAGCCAAACCTACAGGTGCTGGTCATAAAATTAGAATATCATGAAAAAGTAGATTGATTTCAGTAATTCCATTTAAAAAGTGAAACTTGTATATTATATTTATACATTACATACAAACTCATATATTTCAGATGTTTATTTTGTTTAATTTTGATGATTACAAATGACAACAAATGAAAATCTCAAATTCATCATATCAGAAAATTAGAATATTGTGAAAAGGTTCAAAATTGATGGCCCCTGGTGCCACACTCTAATCAGCTAATTAACTCAAACCACCTGCAAAAGCCTTTAAATGGTCTTTCAGTCTAGTTCTATAGGCTACACAATCATGGGGAAGACTGCTGACTTGACAGTTGTCGAAAAGACGACCATCGACACCTTGCACAAGGAGGGCAAGACACAAAAGGTCATCGCTAAAGAGGCTGGCTGTTCACAGAGCTCAGTGTCCAAGCACATTAATAGAGAGGCGAAGGGAAGGAAAAGATGTGGTCGAAAAAAGTGTACAAGCAAGAGAGATAACCGCACCCTGGAGAGGATTGTGAAACAAAACCCATTCAAAAATGTGGGGGAGATTCACAAAGAGTGGACTGCAGCTGGAGTGAGTGCTTCAAGAACCACCACACACAGACGTATGAAAGACATGGGTTTCTGCTGTCGCATTCCTTGTGTCAAGCCACTCTTGAACCACAGACAGCGTCAGAAGCGTCTTGCCTGGGCTAAAGAGAAACAGGACTGGACTGCTGGTGAGTGGTCCAAAGTCATGTTCTCTGATGAAAGTAAATTTTGCATTTCCTTTGGAAATCAAGGTCCCAGAGTCTGGAGGAAAAGAAGAGAGGCACTTCATCCACGTTGCTTGAAGTCCAGTGTAAAGTTTCCACAGTCAGTGATGGTTTGGGGTGCCATGTCATCTGCTGGTGTTGGTCCATTGTGTTTTCTGAGGTCCAGGGTCAACGCAGCCACATACCAGGAAGTTTTAGAGCACTTCATGCTTCCTGCAGCTGACCAACTTTTTGGAGATGCAGATTTCATTTTCCAACAGGACTTGGCACCTGCACACAGTGCCAAAGCTACCAGTACCTGGTTGAAGGACCATGGTATCCCTGTTCTTAATTGGCCAGCAAACTCTCCTGACCTTAACCCCATAGAAAATCTATGGGGTATTGTGAAGAAGAAGATGCAATACACCAGACCCAACAATTCAGAAGAGCTAAAAGCCACTATTAGAGCAACCTGGGCTATCATAACACCTGAGCAGTGCCACAGACTGATCGACTCCATGCCACGCCGCATTGCTGCAGTAATACAGGCCAAAGGAGGCCCAACTAAATACTGAGTGCTGTACATGCTCATACTTTTCATGTTCATACTTTTCAGTTGGCCAACATTTCTATAAATCCTTTGTTTTTATTGGTCTTCAGTAATATTCAAATTTTCTGATATGATGAATTTGAGATTTTCATTTGTTGTCATTTGTAATCATCAAAATTAAACAAAATAAACATCTGAAATATATGAGTTTGTATGTAATGTATGAATATAATATACAAGTTTCACTTTTTAAATGGAATTACTGAAATCAATCTACTTTTTCATGATATTCTAATTTTATGACCAGCACCTGTATATGCCAAATAAAGAGTCGAAAATTGTTGAAAATATGTCAAAGGTTCGGGCAAAGGTGGTTTAATCAGACGATGACTTCTCGTTAAAAAACAGAAGTGCGTTTTGAAAAATGCCTTGTGTCTGCTATTTTCAACACTTTGGAGATCACCACTCAGAGTATTGCATGAGGTCACCTAATGTTTGCCTTCATTACACTCTCCTTTCGCCATTAGTTTTATGTCGTAAACCAGATTTCAGCAGCTTTTTGCTTTGTTTCCCTTTTTAGATGTCTTCATTGGAAACATGCATTACAGATAGGCAGGAGTTGGGAAAAGCTAAGGTGATGCTGTGTTTTATTTAAACACATAAACTTCCTTGGGTTCCCTAAGCTGGAATTCTGGTCTGGGCACAGCAACAATTAAATTCCCTTTTATTCGGAAGAAACGTGGGAAAACAAAACCACCCCTTTAAACCTTAATCTACCTAATCTACCTATAGAGGTCCATGTTGTTACATGTTTAGTACATGATGACTTGGTGGAATCAGCATCTTGGGGATCGTATTCTTAGGTATAGATTAATATAAACAAAACATGCGGAAAACTGAGGCCAGTTTCTGATCTCTGTTTTCCTTAAACTGACTTTTTTTTTTTATCCTCCTGTCACACTATTTATGTGAGGACGTTGAAAAGTCAAAGTTATTACAAAGCTGATAATTCAAGCTGTCTTCTCATATTGGCACATGATAGATTAAGCAGCACTGATCATCACAAAATTCTTTTTTTTTATATATATAATCCTGAGAGAATTTTAAAGCTTTACCTTTCCAGAATGTAGCCAATTATGTTCGAAATTGGCCGCTCACACTGAGCCTGGTTCTGCTTGAGGTTTCTTCCTGTTAAAAGGGAGTTTTTCCTCTCCACTCTCGCTACAAGCTTAGTGTGAGGGATTGCCTTAGAGTCAAGAAGTCGATGCGATCAACTGGTTTTCCTTAGATAGAAAACTTTGAATCAATTTGACTGTATGATCTGGTGAACTGTAAAGTGCCTTCAGATGAAATGTTTTGTGAATTGGTGCTATAGAAATAAACTGAATTGAATAAATTGAATTGTTCTAAATTGCAAATTTTAAAGACTGAGATTTATAAACTCCAAAGGGAAAAAATAAACAATTTTATTTGTACTTTCAGCCTTCCTGCTATTCGTTGGGCTTTATTTGGGAAAACAGCAGCTTTGTGATTCGTCTGTTTTTTATTGAACAAATCCCATTAACAACCCCCAGCCAGATAAGGGCTGCTAAGGTGATCTGTTCATTTAGGTACGATGCGTTCTCTGACTGGAGCCTTATTTTCTTTTTTTGGTTATTTTCAGAAGGCAGGTCATCAATGAATCATTTCTGATCTCAGGACAGTTTCTCTTTGCAGGATCGATTTTAGCTATTAGGAAATTCAAATTACAGGAAAACCTCTGCTTCACAAAAACTAAAGATTTGATGTATGGATCTAGAGACAGAATTAATAATAAGGGACAATAATGACATCATATGCTGGCATATGAAGCTCTACCCAAAGGTTATTTCAGTTTGTGAATCTGTACTAGTTAAGACATTATATTCTATGTTTGTGTTAATTGAAACATTTATGGACCTTTTCAAACAAGGTATTATGACTGCATCTTTTAATGGAATTTTTTTTTTAACAAAGTTATCAAAAAATATACTTTGCTTTTCTGCAACACTTGGTTTTTTAATAGTTTACATTAATGACATGCTTTTATTCTGACATACTTGTGCTTTTTAGGTTCGACTTTTTATACTTGATCAGTTTGCACTTAAGTTAGGTGAAAGGGATTATTACCTCTTTACAAACATATTTTTTTCTATAATCATATGGACGTTGTTGAAGTGTTTAAAGATTTTTTAATTATTATTTTGTTCATATCAAGTATTTGTAATTGCGTAAGTTTACTGATACACTACAGAATGTTTTTACTGTTCATGCAACTGCTGTATTTTTACACATTTCTATGTAAATAAAAGTTTTAAGGAATTAAATATAAACTGAATCAGCTGTCTTGTTTTGCTTCTTCTTTTATGAGATGATTAGGATTCTGTAAAACATTTGAGTAAAAGGAAGCATCACTTCTGCAGAAACATAGGAATCATTTATTCTCTTTATTATTGGTCCAGTATATTTTCAAAAAACGTGGTAAAGATAAATTGCATCAAAACATCAGTATACAAGCTTATTTAGAATTACAACAAACTGTTATTAACATTCAAATGTACAATCGGGGACGTAAACAAAGCACACTGGGGAGGAACAGAGAAAGAAGAAAAATGGATGTCTGTAAAACATCAGACCTCCAAACAGGTTGGATTCCTGATAATGGGATTTTTTTTTTTATCTCCATGTTTCATTTGGCTTAGAAACATAAAGGAAAACTGTTCCCCGACCTGAACAAGCATTCAGACGTCCCTTTAGAGAGACTTTAAATGGACCAGTTTCACCAACGCCGCCTCTCTGGATCTACCTGGATGCTCTAAACAAAAACACAACATCCGTCTCACTTTTAGCAACCAAGAGCTACATGTTTAGTGCCAAAAGAAGAAGAAGAAAAAAAAAACAGCAGATGTAAAATGATAGAACCGGTCTGGTTCTGTAGAACAACCCAAATTGGTCAAATTTACAGAACCGGGTCACATGTACAGTCACTTCTTCCATGTTGACAGGTAATATTGAAATAGACTTGGCTGGCTCATGTCTGAACACTTACTTCATTTACACCAGATAAAAAACAGTATATGGATGGATTAGTACCTGTTTTTCTTTCGAATTTTTATTCAAATAACACTTTTCACTGAGAAAGTGGGAGATTTAAAACAAAGTAAACATAAAGCTAACAGTTACTACAATGAATGAGCACAGAGACCAGATGTTTAGTTGTGCTGAAGCTGGACTTTTAAACTCTAATAACCTTTTACTCTCTTACCCTTATCTGAATTCAACACCTGAGTACTAATAAAAAGGTTTTAGCCTAATTATTCCCTTCTGCCCATTAATATCCCCCCTATTTAACTGCACTCCTGGTAAAGAAAAAAAAAATCTTTAACGATGTGAAAGATGTTTAATGAGACGAAAGCTACGCTCTTTAAACTGACTGAATCTTAAAGCGTTTAATGGTTTAAAGTTTATTCTTGTTATAGAGCAAATTTTTGGAAATCCTGAGTTGCCAACAACTGAGCAACAATTTAAAATAAAATGTTCCAGAAGCGCAGCTGCAGTTTCAGAGTGAGGTGTGACTGCTAACAAAGATTAGCTTGTTTTAAGGCTTTTCTACATCTTTACCAGGGTTGCTGATCACTGCAGAGGGGGATGTGTTGTTTGCATCAAAACATTGATAATAAAGCTTTATATTAATACAACAGTATCATAGTAATGTGTTGGGGGGTAAAATAATGTAACTGAGATACTGTTTGGATCTCTGCTCCCTTCTTCAAAGTGCATCATCATATTTTGCCATTATTTCAGTCAGATACAGTCATTCAGGCTTTTAGTGTGAGCTCCTCCTCTGCTGTAGCTGCCTCAGGTCATCCTAGCATCATAGCTACCTGGAACAGCTCCACTCTGACCCCTTACATGGCTGAAAAAAATTTGTTTTCCTTCATTTTTTGTCCTTGGTCACATCTGGCAGTGCGATAAAAGAAGTAGCTGCTTTAAAGCTTAAAGATCACCCAAGACATAATAATGAGCGACAAAAAGAACAGGGCAGCTGAGAACATCTAGGAGCTGGAGACATTAATTCCTCTGTTATGTTTGGTTGCTAAGAGGGCAGGCCCAACGGTGTGGCATCAGTTTCATCACTTCGATATGGAAATTGTACCTTTATTCTGAAAATCTCTTTCACTGGAGAGATAACACTATCTGAGGCTACATCTGTGCAAAAATGAACAAAAGCTAAATGTTTCAGTGGTTTTAGGATCGTGTCACATAGCTAAGCCTGCCCTGAAATCATTGGTCACATTTTGCTACTAAATGGCAAGTTGCAGTGAGTGTGGAACACACTGTTCAGTATGGGGGGAATATGAGGCATTAAATACGGACATTTTATGAAGGTTTGATCTTCCTGCTGAGGCTGAGAGCCATCATATGAACTCTGCATTTGGTTTTTTGCACCTTTTATGCAAGACCCAATCAAGAATGTAATAAAAAATTGAAACAGAACATTTTGGTAAGCTGAATCTGCAGCTGAGTCACAGATCTACGCACCCCTGCACAACGTCAATACTGTGAACAGGATGAACCAATGTACACTGGAAAGGTTTCCACAGGACTGAGTCATTCAGCTCCATTCTCTTTAATAAGTTACTGAACAAAGTAAAGATGGCACCAGCCTGTATGTGGGCTCTGCAAACAAGTATTGATCTAAAACACCTGCTGGTTATAGGGTCATTTCAGGCCCTTTTTATGCAGGTTGGAATGATTCCACAATTCCCACTCTAAGCTATTCCAGGACAAATCCCACACTGCCTAACATTACCAACTTCAGTTTGTAGGAAAAAGCTGGAATATCAGGATACTGTGGCTTTAAATTATCAATGGAACCTTTCTACCAACAGAACTGGAGGAGAAATGGAAGTTAAGAGCTTTGCCACTAGATGGTGCTGTTTGACACATTTCAATAAAGCTCAGGAGGTAAAACTGTTTTATGGAGACATTTGTCATCACATTCCTGAATTATTAACAGATGTTGGAAAAGAGTATGGGATCAAATGTATGAAAAAAACAAAACAAACCCGTGGAAAAGCACCAAAGAGCTTAAAATAAAAATAAAAAAAATCGGACCATTACTGTTGGATGTAACAAGCACCAAATAAAATATGTGTTAACTGAAAAATGATTTATAACAAAACATTTTCAGCAAGTTTTTTTTTTTAATTCCTAGTAGGAGCAAATAAAACAAACACAAAAAAAGTCCAAATAAAAATCCACTTTTTTTGCAACAGTTATTCTTATTAATCAAGAGCAAAATAAATGCCACAATCCAATAAGTCGAATTATTTGGTTAATAAAACAATTTTCTATATCCATTATAACGGACTTGGTTTAGTTTTAAATAAACTGCATCACATATTAGATGCAACCACTTCCATATTTACTCACTTTTACCAGGCTTTGTGCTGCATTTGATCAAGATGATTTAAACAGCAATGAAACTCAGCTGTGGAGCAGTCTCCTGATTTTATTAATTAAACTAAAATAAAAAATGCTTCTGAATAATTTCAATCAAATAATAACCAATCAATTAATTCCTCTACAATTTAATTCAATTGGAAGCAGATAAATATTTATTTACCAAATGAACGGTTTATTGAACTGTGGCATTTGTGCTCCTCGATAGTCCTTTGGCTCAGTGTGAAAATGGAGAGGGCCCCATCTCTCCACAAAGGTAGTTAAATAAACACAAGCAGCATTGGCAACAAAAAAAAAGATTGAAGTGTTAGGTAGAAAATGTCCATAGAAAAGAAAATAAAGATCTGTACAGGAGGTTCTCTACTCTCCCAGCTGACCTCAAACGCACCGCTCAACACCGTCTTTCCTCGCAGGTCGAATCGAAGGCAGCTGCTTCCTGTGCGATCGTCTCTCGGTAGAACCGGAGGCAGACATCAGCAGTTAGAACCTGCAGCCCCAGCAGCTGTTTTTTTGTTTTGTTTTGGGGGGGTTTTCCATGGCGTGGGTGAGCGAGAGGTGAAAGAACACATTAGGTTCAGTTCGTCTCACTCGTTTTGTCCTCAGTCTGTTTTTCCTGGAGGAGAGTTATGAGGGACTCCCAAGCATCCTGGCACTGCAGAGAGGGGAGAATGAGGAAGTATTCATACCTTTTGTCCTTCAGCTTAAATCACGTATTTAGGAAACACAGGGGGCTCTACCAGCTATACACATTTAGAGACTAGAGAAATGTTTGCAAAATCTATGGGAGGTGTTGGCTGGGGTTTTGGCCCAATATTAGCTTTTTTTTCTCTCTTTTTTTTTTAATTGGCTTCAGCCAATATGTCACCGATCCATTAAAGCCTCCAGCAACCATGTGAGATAACATAAAGTGCATGCATTGCTGCTCCCTCCATTTACTATCCGCTGTTAATGTTTTGTTTTTTATATTTGTTAATAACTTTTTTTTTTACTGAGAAGTTTGTTAACTCTGTTATTGTATGCAAGGCAAGGGAAATTTATTTATACAACACATTTCATACACAAGGCAACTCAATGTGCCTCACAGCAACACCAACATTACAAACACAATAAAACAAACTAATTACAGTAATTTTCGGACTATTAGCCGCACCTGAATATAAGCCACAGAAGATAGACTGCATGATTTGTACATATACAAGCCGCATACATAAACTGTCTTGCGCTCGCAATGTCCATCTTTCTTGCTGTCGTTCCGTCTCGTACCACTCGCAGTAGAAGTCTGCTTCTGCTCCACATTCTCGCGCGCAAGGCTACCGTACTTGTGTGTTGAAGCAAATGTGACAACAACATGGTGGATGGTAAAATCCATAGATTTAGGTATTACCCTAGTGGCCGTTAGCTGTAAAAGTCCATAGATAAGCCGCATTGTTATATAAGCAGCAAGGTTGAAAAATGGGGAAAAAGTCGCGGCTTATAATCCGAAAATTACGGTAATACAAATATCTACAAATACATATTATATATTAAAAGTAGTTAAAATACAACAAATTGCCATAGGCAACAGTGAATAGACATGTTTTCTAGGAAGCAGCAGGAGACCCCTCTCTGAGGTGGTTCATACAGCTCTAACATATCAGAGATTTGCTTTGGTGCTAAACAATGAAAAGACTTGTACAGAAGTAGAGATGTTTTAAAGTCTATTCTCTGAGTCACAGGAAGCCAGTGCAGAGACCAGAGCACTAGACTAATATGGTCGTATTTCCTGGTTCTTGTGAGGACACGAGCAGCAGCATTTTGGATAAACTGCAGTTATCTAACAGCTTGTTTGGAAAGGCCAGTGAACAGGCTGTTACAATAGTCTAACCGGTAATAGGCCGCTGATGTAATGGACTTACAGTAATATCACTTTTGAAATTCAGGTCAGAGTCCATGATTACCCTGAGATTTCTACCTTGAATTTTTTAGTTCCAACAAAAGAGTTTTAAGATGATCAATGACAACTTCTCTTGGTTTTTGTGGTCCAAAGACAATTATCTCAGTTTTATCTCTAGTTAACAGGACAAAGTTGTTTTGCATCCACACACTGATCTATTTGATATTTAAACAGAGACTAGTGCATCCTAAAGACAAAACCCCCAGACCAAATATGAGCGGAGTGCAGTTCAATGCAGTGAGGAATGCTCTGATCTTTATATTGGAGGAACCAAACAACCTCTCCACAGACGCACGGCCCAACACAGAAGAGCGGCCTCCTTGGGACAACTCTGCGGTACGTCTACACATTATGGACAGAGGACATTCTTTTGAGGACCAGAATGTTCACATTTTGGACAGAGAGGATAGGTGGTTTGAGAGGGCGAGAAGAAAGCCATCTATGTTAATAAAGAAAAAACAACCTTAAACAGAGCGGGTGGACTCAGATTTCAGTTTTCAAAAACCTACAATTCAGCCATTAAGTTGATTCCTTCCCGCTATCATCACAACCCCCACCCCATAACAGGGGAACCAGAGCACCACGCCTCTGCAGCCAAGCCAACAATTCCCTTTAATTATCCACCTTTCAGAGACATAGACAGGTTTTGTCTATGTCAATTCCAAATGGGTGGACTCGTATGTCAGGAGCCATTTACATGTCTTCTAAGTACACTGTTGGGATATATTGCCACAATGGAGCCCAAATCAAACGGATGAACCATTTAAAATCATCCCCCTTTCCTTTTTCACAAACAGAACAAAAGATTCTCTTGATTTCACCTCCGATTTTGAATAGGTTAAATAATTAACTATAGCTTTAATCATTTATTCATTATCTGCAGAATATTATTTTGCACAACACTCTATAAGGCCTTGAACTCAATGCTATTTCTAACATTTTGAATTGAAAAAACTTCTTCAAAACATCTTCAAACTTGGAAACAAAGTCCAGTAGATTGTTTTTAAACTTTTTTGGAGAGCTATTTGATAGAATGGTACAGGGTATCTACAGGTCCATGTTCACCCGCCGTCAGTGAAACGTAGATCTGAGTATCGTCTGTGGAGTGTGATAGGATACATTGCTAGTGGAAATGAATGGAAGCATGTACAGATTGAACAAGAGGGGGCCCGGAATCGACCCCTGCAGAACCCCACATGTCAATGCCATTTGGTCTGAGACACAGTTTCCCATCGCAACACAGTAAGTACGGTCCACATTGTATCATTCTTACAAATCAAGGAGGAAATGCATGTGCTCTAAAGAATCCCTTCAGAAATTAAAACAGGAAGGCGTATCTTTTAGCAGATGTTTTGGGAGATAAAGGTGCTCAGAACGATATAAAAGCATTCTTGCCTCACAAATATCTTCTGTATGGGGAAAAACAGCAAACGGATTTCCTTTCAGCAAAGTTTTTCTCTGTGCCAATCCCCCATAAAGTCCTGTTTGAAGGGCTTAACAGCGGTCATGTGGACAGAGTTGAGTTCTGAAATTTGTTTCACTGGTTTTATTAAAGGGGTTTCAGGGTAAATGGGGCTGCATAAAAGTGCATGCATTTGTTTTTTTTTTTTATGATGTTTTAAGGGCCATATCCGATTCACAGCCATTTAAACCGAATGCATTAGGGTCTGTGGCCATGAATGAAAACTAATCTATGATCTGTGATACCATACCAGGGCTGAGAAAAGTGGAGATCTGAGTCCTTCTTTGTCCTTCTCTATTCACGTACCTTTTCATAATAGTTGATGTTTTTGTCGGCCATCCCCGTGAGGAGCTGTTTGAAGTCTTGCCTCTTGTTTCTCTGCCAGCGTTCCCAGTCTGCTTTCAGGTCAGCGTTGAAACACTCCACTTTGTCCTGGCATTTCTCCACTTCCACAGGAATCTGCAGCGGAGCAGAGAAAACTAAAGCTACAGGGGACTGGGCTCAACGCTACTTGTTAGCGAGATCTAAGTTGCGGCGTGGAAGGAGGAATTTCAGGAGGGAAAGATTAAAACACATTTTTACTCTGTAGATATAAATTGTAATCAGATGAAATCTGACAGTCTTGTGAAACTCAAATGAGAGGAAGCATGTCGCTTACAGGGGTTCGATCTTCTTGTTTGCGTAACACAGCTGCTTCGAGGCGGCCCTCGTACTCCGCTTGAACTTGGTCTCGTTTCCTCAAAACGTTCTATTATCAGACAGAAGGCCTCAAAGTTAATATGAACACACTGCGCCCTCGAAGAAACAGCATGTGACCAATTTAACATGCAGACAATTCTGCTGAGTTATGAGCTGGACAGGACATGATGCACACTGCAAAAAATTTTAATCTAGCTAAGTCATTTTTTATTAAAATAAGTGCATTTGTTCTTGAATTGAGGAGGTAAAAGAGACATTTTGCCAATGGAACAAGAGAATTTACACTTAAAATAAGAAAACACAATTGCATTGTCTTATTTCAAGTGCATTTTATCTAATTATCTTATTTCAAGAGTAAAATTACTCATTCCATTGGCAAACTATCTCATTTACCTGCTCAAATTAAGGGTGAATACACTTAATTTAAGAAATTTTTTACTTATTTCTAGATCGTTTTTGCAGTGCATGCAAAAAAGAAAATAAAAAAAAGCCCTGATGGCGCTTTTTTTCTAGGAGCAAAAGTGATTAAGCTATGAGGCTGGAAAGGCTGGAGAAGAAAGCAAAGGGCTTTTTTTTCTATCAACATATTTCACAAAATATATACTTTAAAGAATTAAAGAAAGGGTCAGCAGAAAAGTTAATAAAAGAAGAGATAAACATCAAATTTCCCCTTATTGCTTAATTTTTTGCATCATTTCTGGTAGAAGAGCCTCTGAATCTGTTGCTATAACCTATAAAAATGTTACATTTTTAATAAATTATGAAGTTTATTAAGGTGCAGATATTAGCCAGGGCGCCTGTGTAGCTGAGTGGACCTGATCTTGGTCTGTGGATCTGCAGAGCTGGCTCATAACCACGGCCGTGCAGATCACATGGGTTTTTTTTTTTTAACATTACAGGCATTAAACAACAAGAAAGACAGGGTGAAAGTGAGTGTTTTGGTCATAAGTGATACAGATAGAGGCTGCGGGAGTAAATCAGGGAGATGAAAGAGTCAGGATGTGGATTTGATTTGCTGCTCCAGGCAGAGGAAGCAGTTTAGGAACTGATGTAGGTTTCAAACTCACCTTCATAGATTCGATGTAAAGAACGTATTCTCTGAGAACGGGCAGGAAGTCCTGGCTCATGTTGTCGCTCAGATCCTCCAAGGCACCACAGCTTGTGGTCACGCAGCCGGCCACGCCCTCCAGGGGGCGCTGCAGCTGCTCCTCTGACCCGGCCCAGCTGGAATACACAGCACCGTACTCACGCAGCTCTGTTAGGTACTCTGGTAGTAAAAAGAAGGAAAACAGTGAAACGTGAGCAAAATGGGATCCCTACAAAAAGACTGCAAGCGATTAAGTGGCTTCCTGAGCTTCCATCTAGTGTGTTCTTAGTAGGCGTCCAACTCTGCAAACCAGCGGCCCTGACAGATGGTGAAAGGGAACATTTCACATGGCAGGTATTTATTTACGGCATCGCTGGCCATGCATGAGTCAGGTCAACTGGATCAGCAGCTCTCTGCAGGTAAACTTTTACTCTTCCCTCATTGCTGAGTGAAGGAAGTTTCTCTTTCAGTTAAAAAGGTTGTTTTAAATGTGGGTTTGCTTGTTTTTCAGGATTTAAAAGGTGGTTCAGATTAGCAGTCGGCTCTGGTTCTGTTTTCATGGCAGGAACATGAACTTATGTTCTTAAAATCTATAAATTAAAGTCAATCTAACCTGTGAAGCTGCTAAGGACTCATGTCAACGTTATGATGCTGCCATCATGTTTCGTAGCTCGTAATTACAAAAAACTGAACTTTAAATAACTTTTGGATCTTTTCTTTTTTCAACAAACGAACATTTTACATTTACAGATTTATTCCAAGGTATTTTAAAGGGGAAGTTTAATATGAACCAATCTGCAGTGAGAGTTAACAGCGCTGTGTGGGCACCAGACAGGCACCTACCTGACTGCTCTTTGAGGATTCTCTGAGCGATGCGATCAATGGTTCCCAGTTTCTGGCTGAAGGTGTCCAGATACTCTCCCATGGCGCAGAACTCGGCCGGCCGCGCCCGCAGCTTGTAGCCTCCGGCGACATGCTTCACCGATTCTCCCACTTTGGTCAGCAGGGCCAGACCCTGACGCTTGTTCAGGTCCTGCAGAGACGCATTACATCAGGGTGAAGAGGAACAGATCCAGACGGTTGATCTAATGCTTATGAGCTCCTCCTTTACTGGAAGTTAAGATGCCTTTGCATAATTAATCTGGTATTAATCTGTGAGTGAATCCTTTACTTATTTCTTAATGTTTTACGTGAAATCAGGTGTAGATGGCCCACAGCATCACAGAGCCACCACTATAACTAACACTGGGTTCTTGTTTAACTTTGATTTTACACTAGATCCCCTTGGAGTGTTTATTTCCCCTCATAAACCCCAAACACAGCCAAGAGTCTGAAACATATTTAAGCAAACTCAACATTTTCACATTTAAAGGAATAGTACACCCAAAACATGATTAGCCTTCCTTTTCTACTCACCCCCATGCTGAACAACACTCTGGAGTACTTTTTTGATATCTCAAAATCTCAAATGCATCTGGAGATCTGGGAGGCTTCTTGCTGTCTGCTGACATTCAAATAATGGAGGTCTATGGTGCCCCAGGCAGAAAGGTCCATAAAAGTCCACAAAAAACTTGTCAATATTCCTCCATACTGCTCGCCCAATGTATTCCAAGTGTCCTGAGTGGGTAGCATCCAGAATTTACTCGAAACGAAGTCATTTAGAATGTTTTTAGAGCATAAACAGTAGTGTATAGGATTTCCTGAAAGCGCGCGCCTGCGCGATCACGACGCTACGGAAGCCGTCAGACCAAACCAGATGAAAGTGCGCATTCAGCATCTGCTCTGCCGATAATGCAAGCGTAGAAGAAGAAATGTGATGTTTACCTGAGCAAAGAAAGAAACAACGAAAGAAAAATGTCTGAGGACTTCAGTGTTGAGGAAGAGCATGAGTTCTTTGCCGAGCTGAATGCGCTGGTTTGGTCTGACGGCTTCCGTAGCGTCGTGAACTCGCAGGCGTGCGCTTTCAGGAAATCCTACACACTACTGTTTATGCTCTAAAAACATTCTAAATGACTTTGTTTCGAGTAAATTCTGGATGCTACCCACTCAGGACACTTGGAATACATTGGACGAGCAGTATGGAGGAATATTGACACGTTTTTTGTGGACTTTTATGGACCTTTCTGTCTCGGGCACAATAGACCTCCATTATTTGAATGTCAGCAGACAGCAAGAAGCCTCCCAGATCTCCAGATGCATTTGAGATATCAAAAAAGTACTCCAGAGTGTTGTTCAGCATGGGGGTGAGTAGAAAATGAAGGCTAATCATGTTTTGGGTGTACTATTCCTTTAAGATCATAAAAAAGAAGAACAGACCCTGAAAAGTGTCGTATCAGGCACAGTTAGTGTTAGTGAACGACTGAGATGTTTTCCTTTCCATAAAAAGAAAATAAAACTGATCTACTAGAAAAAAGATAGCATTTTCAAGAAGAAAGACAGATTTTCTTCAATGGGATCTTGATACTTTTAGTATTATTCTCTTTTAAGGAATTCTGTGCAATCATTTCAAAATGACTGCAGTAAAAAACAAAGTGATGAAGAGTGATTTTGGAATGATGTAGCTTTAGAGCCACAGGGTTGAAGATAAGTAAATACTTTGATGAACTTTGGAAATGTGTAGAAACTAGAGCCAGGACTTTAACACAATAATTTGGATTAGAACATTTTCCATCAATTGTATTTTCTTATAAATATACTAAAATCCCAGCAGGAACCTCTGTACTTGCTGTTTCTTGCATAAAAAGCAGCCTTTTCTTTTACAAATCTGGTGCACAAGCAGCATCACATCATCAGAAAACCTCAAAGGACCTTAGAGTGGACATCTAAGGTACTTCTATCTAAGCTAAGGACACCAAAGGTACGTGCCTCCATGGTCGCCATAAAAAATGCTACCTGGCCATTGCTGCAAGTTAGCAAGGAGTTAGGACCAGGAACATGAATTATTTGTCTTGATGAGAAATTGCACTAAATGCTCCACATCAAACAGCTAATTTTAAGCACTGTTTTATGCAGAGCTAAACTGTCATAGTTCTGTCAGTATCAGAAATAAGAACTTTACATTCTGTTTATAACAAATGTTAAACCCTTACAGGAAATATTGTATTCCTTATATTTTGTACAATAATTAGTGGAAGAAATGATACTATAATTAAGATTCATGAACTGTTTACAATTCTATAGAAGGAGGTTTTCAAAGAAATTACATTAAACATTAGAGGGTTTCAGAAAAAGGTAAATGATGAAGACTTTGAACCAATCTGATGGTTGAATATCCTAATTATATACAAGACATATGTGTTGCTGTGCTCAATTATTTGTTCAATAATAATTAAGGAGAAATAAAGTTTTTTTGAATTTAGGAGATGGTTTATTTTATTGATAATCGTTTTTGATTAAAATGTGATTAAGGATTATCCTTCAAATTGGAATGCTTTAAGAAAGCATTCCAATTTGAAATGGTCTGAAATGTAAATGTTTTAGTATTTTTGTTTCGGATTATGTTTCCACACTAACAGATGGATTTAATAACAGCCTTTTTCCTGTGCAGTGGAAGATGTTCTTGGATGAATCACTGCTACTATTTTTTACTACTTTCCTTTCTGGGCACGTTAGAGTCCACTGCTGCTTTACCTTGGCAGTCAGAAAGGCATTAAGATAAGGGTTGAAAGACAGAACTGGGTGGTCCGCGACACGCTTCAGGAACTTGTCCAGAGCCTTCATCCTCGTCTCCACAAACTCCTCCGAGAAGCGGTCCACCACGCCCTTCATCACAAACTTCTCAGGCAGTGGCTAGAGACAGGAGGAAGAGAGAGTGAATGAAGAGCGTCTCACTGGGACAGCAGGTCTGGGCGGAATAAGGAGGGGCGGAGCTTACTGGGATGAGGTGGGTCGGCTGGCTGTCTTCCAGTTTTGTCCTCAGCCAGTCGAAGTCCTGGTAGCGCCGCCGCACGCTGTACTCCGGGAGGTCGAATTCTATCCGTGTTGTCTGGAAAAAAGGAACCAACAGTTTTAAAACCGACGTCTCAACATACACTATATTGCCAAAAGTATTTGCTCACCCATCCAAATTATTGGAATCAGGTGTTCCAATCACTTCCATGGCCACAGGTGTATAAATTCAAGCACCTAGGCATGCAGACTGTTTTTACAAACATTTGTGAAAGAATGGGTCGCTCTCAGGAGCTCAGTGAATTCCAGCGTGGAACTGTGATAGGATGCCACCTGTGCAACAAATCCAGTCGTGAAATTTCCTCGCTCCTAAATATTCCACAGTCAACTGTCAGCTGTATTATAAGAAAATGGAAGTGTTTGGGAACGACAGCAACTCAGCCACGAAGTGGTAGGCCACGTAAACTGACGGAGCGGGGTCAGCGGATGCTGACGCGCATAGTGCGAAGAGGTCGCCAACTTTCTGCAGAGTCAATCACTACAGACCTCCAAACTTCATGTGGCCTTCAGATTAGCTCAAGAACAGTGCGCAGAGAGCTTCATGGAATGGGTTTCCATGGTCGAGCAGCTGCATCCAAGCCATACATCACCAAGTGCAATGCAAAGCGTCGGATGCGGTGGTGTAAAGCACGCCGCCACTGGACTCTAGAGCAGTGGAGACGCGTTCTCTGGAGTGACGAATCGCGCTTCTCCATCTGGCAATCTGATGGACGGGTCTGGGTTTGGCGGTTGCCAGGAGAACGGTACTTGTCTGACTGCATTGTGCCAAGTGTAAAGTTTGGTGGAGGGGGGATTATGGTGTGAGGTTGTTTTTCAGGAGCTGGGCTTGGCCCCTTAGTTCCAGTGAAAGGAACTCTGAATGCTTCAGCATACCAAGACATTTTGGACAATTCCATGCTCCCAACTTTGTGGGAACAGTTTGGAGCTGGCCCCTTCCTCTTCCAACATGACTGTGCACCAGTGCACAAAGCAAGGTCCATAAAGACATGGATGACAGAGTCTGGTGTGGATGAACTTGACTGGCCTGCACAGAGTCCTGACCTCAACCCGATAGAACACCTTTGGGATGAATTAGAGCGGAGACTGAGAGCCAGGCCTTCTCGTCCAACATCAGTGTGCGACCTCACAAATGCGCTTCTGGAAGAATGGTCAAAAATTCCCATAAACACACTCCTAAACCTTGTGGACAGCCTTCCCAGAAGAGTTGAAGCTGTTCTAGCTGCAAAGGGTGGACCGACGTCATATTGAACCCTATGGATTAGGAACGGGATGTCACTTAAGCTCATATGTGAGTCAAGGCAGGTGAGCAAATACTTTTGGCAATATAGTGTATTTTGAAATTTAAAAACCTTTTAATGTGTCGTTTACTATGTTTATTAGTCATGAAGACTCTTTAAAGACTGGAGATGTCTCAAACTACTTCATCTTTTCTGAGATACTGACAACGCGGCTTTGAGAATTGACTGATCCCGATATCTCAGCATTAATCAGACATGCTTTTATTACTTATTTTGTATTGTAGCATGTTAGAAAAGGCTTGAGCAAATGCAGGGTTTATACAGGAATGAGTTAGTCTAATAATGCTCTTAAATGCTCTTCGAAATAATTTAAATGCCATAAACAAGTCCCCATATATACACTATATTGCCAAAAGTATTTGCTCACCCATCCAAATTATTGGAATCAGGTGTTCCAATCACTTCCATGGCCACAGGTGTATAAATTCAAGCACCTAGGCATGCAGACTGTTTTTACAAACATTTGTGAAAGAATGGGTCGCTCTCAGGAGCTCAGTGAATTCCAGCGTGGAACTGTGATAGGATGCCACCTGTGCAACAAATCCAGTCGTGAAATTTCCTCGCTCCTAAATATTCCACAGTCAACTGTCAGCTGTATTATAAGAAAATGGAAGTGTTTGGGAACGACAGCAACTCAGCCACGAAGTGGTAGGCCACGTAAACTGACGGAGCGGGGTCAGCGGATGCTGACGCGCATAGTGCGAAGAGGTCGCCAATTTCTGCAGAGTCAATCACTACAGACCTCCAAACTTCATGTGGCCTTCAGATTAGCTCAAGAACAGTGCGCAGAGAGCTTCATGGAATGGGTTTCCATGGTCGAGCAGCTGCATCCAAGCCATACATCACCAAGTGCAATGCAAAGCGTCGGATGCGGTGGTGTAAAGCACGCCGCCACTGGACTCTAGAGCAGTGGAGACGCGTTCTCTGGAGTGACGAATCGCGCTTCTCCATCTGGCAATCTGATGGACGGGTCTGGGTTTGGCGGTTGCCAGGAGAACGGTACTTGTCTGACTGCATTGTGCCAAGTGTAAAGTTTGGTGGAGGGGGGATTATGGTGTGAGGTTGTTTTTCAGGAGCTGGGCTTGGCCCCTTAGTTCCAGTGAAAGGAACTCTGAATGCTTCAGCATACCAAGACATTTTGGACAATTCCATGCTCCCAACTTTGTGGGAACAGTTTGGAGCTGGCCCCTTCCTCTTCCAACATGACTGTGCACCAGTGCACAAAGCAAGGTCCATAAAGACATGGATGACAGAGTCTGGTGTGGATGAACTTGACTGGCCTGCACAGAGTCCTGACCTCAACCCGATAGAACACCTTTGGGATGAATTAGAGCGGAGACTGAGAGCCAGGCCTTCTCGTCCAACATCAGTGTGCGACCTCACAAATGCGCTTCTGGAAGAATGGTCAAAAATTCCCATAAACACACTCCTAAACCTTGTGGACAGCCTTCCCAGAAGAGTTGAAGCTGTTCTAGCTGCAAAGGGTGGACCGACGTCATATTGAACCCTATGGATTAGGAACGGGATGTCACTTAAGCTCATATGTGAGTCAAGGCAGGTGAGCAAATACTTTTGGCAATATAGTGTATATAAAAACACTGTGAAATCCTTCTTCATCTTTACCGTCGACAGGCTGCAGCCATGGCCAAAATTCCTTTTTAAAAAGCATTAAAAGTCATTAAAGAACATTGAATGAATTTTAAATCCTTGTTTTCCAGCCATTTTTGTTGAAATTTGCATTTTGCTGCCTCGTGCGTCTTTTCTGAACACACGGCTTTACGATAAAATCAGAAGCAGTTCTGTGCAAATACATTGCAATATAATATATCTGACGAAATTGTTTTTATAATCGTATTTTTTTTCTTTAAAGCATTTCAAATGCCACAATAATCACATCTAATTAATTTTAAAGGCAATAAAGGCCTTAATTTATAAAGTAATAATTTACTGATTTTTAATGACCTGCAGAAACCCTGAAGTGATATTTACTAAAACAGCCAACAATAGTCAGGAACTTCAAACAGAAGCAGAGTGTTTCTATAAGCATAACCATATCAGAGGTTTTAGATACAGGCTGATATAATCCCATTTTAGATTCTTGACTATTATCAGACAGATTCAATATTCATATTGGATCGGCAGATCCCGATTAAAGACACTAAAAAACTATATACATGAAAATAAGACAAAATCTTTCAAATGTACTAAAGTTGGCCTGATGATATCAGGGCATTAAGGCTGAAATATAGCAGGTGAACACACAGAAACACTGTAGTGATAAATAACGCCCCTCAAAGGGTCTATTAGGGTGGCAAGATACCAGAAAATCTTATATCAAGTGCAATAAAAGCCTATTATCCCATCTGTGCTTCCTGCACTCTGTGATCTTCTGCTTTTCTCAGCAACGTCGTTTGCGCCGCCCTAATGTAACATCTGCAGCTATTAGACTCTAACTAGCAACATTAGCCACCAGTCTCTGCTCTCCAACACTCCTTTGTGATATGAATACAGCACACAGCTGATAAATCACTGATAACATGCGCAGCTCCAGCCTCCATAAACACTTTGAGCTTTTATTTTGGCAAGCTATTTCTATGCGGCTTCAGAAATGAAGTGCTTTGCTGCACAATCCAGCTGTCACCATGTGGCCCTGGCGTTTGGATGGATTATTGCTATTCTAAACTTTTTCACTGTAATGCAGTATAAAAGCCAATATTCTGATATAAGGCACTTCAAAATCAGCTCTGATGACTTTAAAATGAACCTGAGCTGTTACTTGTGATGTTAAACAAACTTTTCTTCTTTTACGACACGTTTCGGTCTCATATAAACAGTGCAGAGGTCAGGACCTTGGAGAAGCCTCTCCATATGCATCATGCGAGCACTTCTTGACGTATGTTTGGAAGTCACCAGCATAGAGGTGTCAGATTTGAAGCACAGTTATTTTTCTTTTCTTTCTCTCTCTGCCTGCAGTGAGAAACATCAGCGTTTCCCTAACCTTCAGTTAAAAGCAGATATGGGACTGAAAGGCTCTAAGGATCTGGTTTAGTTAAAGCCAAGATAACCTTTGGTGAAGAAAGGCACAGTTCATCCCATTTTGTTTTATGTCACAATCCACACTTTATCTCTGAGGCTTTGGACAAATAATCTTTCATCTTTTTTTATTTCAAGTCTTTGGCATCAAAACTTTGGTCTGAAAAATAGCTATTAAAATTTAGAAAACCCTAAACCCAAGTGATTTCATTCATCAATGATGGGAAGAAAAGGGAGAAACCGAAACACATTTTCTCCATCAATTCTTGAGTACCTGGCCCATAGCATCACTCATCCTCCACCACACTAATCTGTTGAAATAAGGCTTCTTTCCATATATTCATCCTTTGTTTTGAGGCAGAATCGAAATGTCATCTCACCAAAATGTATTTCAGCCTCCCACCTGTATTAACTTAAACTTCTCTTCACACTCAGTTTTGTGTTGGACTGTTCTGATACACAAACCCTTTCAAATTATCCATGATCGCTAAGAGAAGGCTGAAACATTTCAGCGGTTTCATGTCCTATAGTTTATTAAGGAACATGGATGTTAGTAAATCAGATTCAAGTATTTTTATCCATTTAAAGGGAATAATAAACCAGGCCTAGGCATTTATTTTAAACATTTGATTTACTTTGTTTATTGCAAATAATCAAGCTGAGCATCAAAGAAAATATCACTCAAAAATAAACAATAAAATGTCTTTCCTTACCATAGCTTTCGATAGTTTGCATTGAATACCTGATAATTGTGGAATCCTTGATCTATCTTGTCGAAAAATTTCAATGGGGAAATTTATTTTGAAAAAATTCTGGGCTGAACAGGTGAAAACTCCTCATCTGAGGCAAAAAAAAAATATTTGGTACCGACTTCTCCTTTCATGGACGAACATGGTGAGGGGGTCCTTGCTCTGTCTCTCTATCGATTGATTGGGGGTCCTGCACTGGATAAAGTTATGTTTTTCTTCCAGTAGCTAAGCGTCTAAACCAGGGGTCTGCAACCTGCGGCTCCGGAGCCACATGTGGCTCTTTGGACCCCCTATAATGGTTCTGAATGGTGGCTAAAGATGATATAAATAATTAACTTAAGTACTATAATTACAAAGTACTAAATTACAAATATCTGTCTTAGAAGCTTTGTTGGTTTTTATAAAGAATATATTAATTTAATTTTCACAACTGAATGACTTTTAAAAGCACCAGAAATATGTTTTAAGAGCTTTATTCTTTTAATTAGCTTGGAAATTAGGTGTTTTTATCTTTTTTTTTTTTTTTTTTTTTTTTTTTATAAACACAAACTAGCAACAAATCTATGTTTCATCTTTACCCATTGTTTTGTGTCTCCCTTATCTTAAAAGCTTAAAAAACAAATAACCTCTTGGTTCTTAAAGATGGAAACAGAATTCTTACAGCAGATATTTCACAAAGATAATTAGTTGTGTTTTATTAAAAAGTCATGCAATATTTTGTAGCTCTAAATGACTTCTAAATTGTATCTGAAAGGTTGCAGACCCCTGTTCTAAACCGTGCAACGCAGCAACAACCCATGGGTTTAATCCTTATGCTGATGGCTGCAGATATAAAAACATGTGCAGAAATATTTTACCTGCAGGTGAAAATGCTTGTTTTAATTTCTGAAATGCTGCTCTTAAGCAAACAGTACATCTTTACTAAGATACATCAGCAAAAAGTACCTTTATTTTGAAAGCTCTCTTATCCTCTACAAATACATCTGTGTGGCATTAAAGAAGAAAACAGCTGCTCTAAATAAAAATACAGCTCTGTTCCATATCTGTTATAAGCTGTTTTTTTTTTTTTTTAAGCATCCTTACTAGGACTGAAACAATTAAAGAGATTAATGGTGATTATTTGACTATTGAAATTATCTACAACTAATTTAGGAATCGAATAATAATTAACTGGAGTACACAGATTCTAAAACATGCTATAACTGACAGAACAAGCCACTTAGAACAGTAATTATATTAAAATTGAAAAAAAAAATGTATAAACATTTTGCATTTAAGAAAAAAAAAACATTTTCGTCTGTCAATATGCTCTATTTAGAACTTGTCAAGTGGAAAAGGTTTAATATCGTAAAAAATCTTTAAGGAACCGTGGATATCTGATTATTAATCGATAAAATAATCAACACATTAATCGATATGCAAAATAATCATTTATAGTTGCAACCCTAATCCTGACAAACATTTACTTCTATGGTGACGGACTATTTACACTCAGTTATGTTTGCAGTGCCGTTTCTCCTTTTTATAGTCGGGGTCTGACTGGTCAAAACGCGCTGGTGAACAAGTTTTAATGCAGTTTTATGATATGATATCAGTAGATCCCATGGGAGCAATTAAAGCAGGAAAACAAAACCTTCAAAGCGTCGGTGTCAAACTGTGTGATGCTTCAGAAAAAAATGCATCGGCTGGATTTTAAGAGTAAAGCAGGTCGGATCTGAGCCGCGTTACCAAGCAGTTGAAATCTTTAAAAGTCGGCGATATACGATTTTGAACTGAATTCTGTATCAAAAAGGAAGTCAGGTTAAGGTTCCAATGCAAGCCGGGTGTGACGCGGCTTTTACTTCCAGTCAGCAGGAGAGCCGCTGCTTTTTCTCAGGCTGCTGATGCAACAGCAACGGAAAAGGAGCAGCAGAAACTAAAGCAACACTGTAATAAACACACAGATTATTGCCTGGAAGCAGTAAGAAGGGATGAAGGCCAACAACGCCGCCTCTAATCTGTTTGTCACATTTAAAAGTGCTGCCAAACCCAAAGTCCTGAATCAGCAACACGTGGATTTTAGATTTGACCCCAAACACTGAGAAGTTTTGTAGTAAATTTACGTTTTTTTCAGATTTTGACATCGCCTCAGGAAGTCATCTGCTTTCTACTTTTTGATTTGTAGTCCAGACCACATTTATAATGAAAAAAATAAATAAAAGGAGGATTCAGCAAAGAGTAGATTATAAATGGAGCTTTTAGGCTCTTTGATCGTACCTATGAAAAATATAAATCATAGCTGCCTTTCAGTAAATGATTAACTAAGGGAAATATTTACAGGCAGCCTGTGGGAAAATAATTTCTTAGTAAGTTAGTGTTAGAACACACTTTGTTTATTCTTCTCCGCTGCAGCTCAGAAGGATGATCTACTCCATACAAATTCCATAGGCATCATAATCTAAACACACAAGTTCACAGTCATGAGATCATGGAGAACAAAGTTCAATCCAGTCATGAGATTTTAGCAGCAATCAGCTTTTTTCATCATCCTTAAAAAGATAAGAAGAGAATCTGATTCTATAAAAAAAAACAAAAAAACAGGTTAAACAGGACCTGAGCAAAATAAACAAACCTTAGTGGAGACTCTGTAGGTGATGTAGGTCTCCATGGTGGAGACGTGTTTCTTCGGGTCGTCGACGGTGACGAAGAGGTCGCGGGCTTCTGTGGAGCCGTACGGGTCCTGATCGTCTGCCTCCAGCTCGTCGTCCAGCTGCAGCCTGCTGAGCAGCACCGATGCAGAGGAGGGCCTGGAGATCTCCACGGGCGCACCGTTGGTCAGGCCAGACTCCTGCTGGGAAACAAAAAAGAGAAGAAAAAAAACAGACCAGAGCGATGATTTGATGATGGTGCCGTGGCAGAAAGAGCTACAGATAGATTGATTGTGATGCTGACGAAGCTGTTCTTCATCGTCAATGGAGCGCTTGTTGAGACTGTGTGGAAACGCTGCATCTCCAGGATCAGCTTTCTGTTTGGGGGTGGAAAAAAAAAACTGGAAGAATTCTTGCTTTTTTTTCCAGTCTGGGAGGATTAAAATAATCAGAGAAAGAGATATACCGTCATACAACTGCGACTAAACTGCTTTTAATTCTCCTGAGTTTTAAAGGAAATAAATAAAGAGGAAAAATAACAATGCTGCACCTTATAGGAGACTGAGAAAAGCTCTAAAACCCTCCAAACACCACTGATAACTCAGATGGAGAATTTTTACCCCCAGAGGAAATACGAAGTATGCAAAAAATGAAAAAAATCTCTATTTTATTATATAGGATAGGTGTGCGACATGTCAAATTCGGTCAGCAGGAAGAGGAGAGCTGCTCCTCTGTCCTCCTTTCCTCAGTCCACTTCACAAACACACAAAGAGCTTCCTTAGAAAACAGGCGCTGACAGCAGCAAACCTTCCACTGCTGCTGACCTGCTCTGCTAAACAAACACCGCTCAGATAATCACGCTGCATCAGGACGTTGCTGTGAATGAACAACCAGCTAAAAAAACGGTCGGCCATATGCAGGAAACAGCACCAGGAGCCGTTTCCACTATCAAACACTCAGATCGGTTTCTGTTGCTTCTAGAAAGAGAAGAAGTAACAAAATCTACTAGAGATGACCTTGAAATTTCCTTTTTTTTTTATTACAACAGCTTTAATAAGACAGTAAACTGACCCCATGAGGAAAACCTTCCCCTGTGACCACAGCGCAGTCTTCTGCTGCTTCTCTGCTAGGATCATCCTACATGAGCGTCAACATTTTTACTCTTAACTCTATGCCTGCTGGAGGACAGCCTCTCAAAAGCATGATGCTGCCACCGCCATGTTTCACTGTAATACATTCAGTTGTAGGCAAGCCAGAGCATCTTGTTCCACCTGTTCGCCGATTCTCCTGCAAATTCGATTCTCTCAGCTGATGTGTAGATCTCTGCAGCTCCTCCAGAGTTCCTCTCTGATTGGCAGGCATGCAGATTATGGATTGAACAGTGCTATATAAGTTTAAACTTAACAATCTTTATAACCAACTGAGACGTTCAAAGAACACTCAAAGAAAAGGGATCTAAAAGCACATGGATCAGATTTTTAGCTGATAAAACATTTGGAAATCCATTTACTGTATCATTCTCATTTCACTGTAAAGCATTTATTTATGCTGCCGTTTGCAGTTAAGCAGATTACACTGACCTCCCTTTCCTGTCTTCAACAGGAAGGGGTAAAAAAAGCAACACCACACAGCGTGTAACCATGACAAGCAGGTTTCAGCATCTCTCACTGGCAATGATTAACTGCTGGTTAGAAACGGTTGTTGCTCCGTGATGAATAAAAAGCTTCGTTCCATCGATGTTTACACAGCCCTCAGAGGTTGCTGAGGATGCCGCATCCCCCCCAGCCCCTTCTATACCTACTCTGTTGTTTTTCTAGACTAAAGTTAGTTAAGATTAAGTCAGTTTCGTGCACCAAATGGTGCAAATGATCTGACTTAATGAGGTGCAAATGCAGGAACACATGAATCAATCATATACCTGTTTGTTTAAGTTCCTCATTTGTGGATTTTTCCAAACAAAAATCAATAAAAATCTGAAAAGAAAACCCGGATTTTTTTTTTTTTTTTTTTTTTTTTTTTTTTTCTTCTTCCTTTGGGGGGTTTGGCATGTCTGTTTTCTGGGGGGGGCGGGCGGGCCTGCTGGGTGGGGGTCCTGCTGGCGGCGCGCCGCTGGTGTGTGGGGGTCCGGGCGGCTCCAGCGGGGGTAGTGTTGGGGGGCCGGTCTGGGCGGGCTGGCTGCGCTGGCTAGGTATTCGGGTGGGTTTTCCCTCCTGGAGGCATGGCGGGGCTGCTCTGTTCCCGCTGATCGTGGCGGGTGGGGCTGCGGGGCGGGTGGGGGCCTGGAGTGGCTATGGCCGGCGCGTGGTGGGGGGCCGGGGCGGCGGAGCTGCTCTGGCCGCGTGTCGGGGCCTGGTGCGGGCGGCGGACGTGGCTGGGCTGCTTTGGCTTCGTCCGGTGGAGGGGGCGGCGCGGTTCGCTCCGCTCTGGCTTTGTGCTGCCCCTCGGGCTGCTGGGGGGGGTGGTTGCGCCGGCTGCGGTCTGCTCTTCTTGCGGTTTTGCGCCGGGCGGCTTTTCTGCTCTCGGGCTGATTCTGTGCGCGGTGTGTTTCGTTGCGCGCTGTTGGCATCGGTCTTGGTGGGGTGGGGCTGCGCTTTTGGCCGGGGGGGCGTTTTGGGGGGGTCCCGCGGCGCTCGCGGCCGGTTCGCGGCGGATGCGCGTGGGCCCCGGCCGGGGGCGGGGCCGCCTGAGTGTTTTCCTGGGTGGTGCGGTCGCGGTGGGTGTTGCGGCCGGTCGCCGGGGCTTGGTGCTGGGGGGGCGGGGCGTGTTTCGGTGCTCTGTGGGGCTGGGGCGTTTCGGTCGGCGCCGTGGGGGGGCTGGTGTTCGGTGCCCGGCCCTACTTCGGGGTGGCCGGCTGCCGGCGGGGCCCGCGGACTCGTCCCCGCGGCTCCCCGGGGCGCCGGCATGGCGGTGGCTGGGGGGCTTCTTCGTGGCTGTCTCTCCTCCTGCCTTGGTGGGGTCTGATTTCCGGGGCTGGCCCCGCCTTGGTGCCTTCGCTTCTGGGGTCCCCTTGGGCGCCTGGGGCTTTGGGTCTCCCGGCGCTGGACTCAGTGCTCTGGGGGGTGTGCCTCTCCGGCTCTCCACAACCACTATTGAGCATTTTTTCTATGGTTAAAACTTTACATGCACAAGTTCACCCTCACAAACAACTACAGGTGCTAGGCTTCAGGTACTTAGAGATTCACTTCCAAACAGAAACCCCACATTCATATCTTCAGGTAACACAGAGTACATGTCAGACTTAATAATATTACGTTAGCGATAGTTTCAAGGTGTTTGCTTTATTGTATATCTCGTACCATGTTTTTGGGTTGTGCTGTTCTTTTTTTTTTTTTTTTTTTTTTTTTTTTTTCCATCTCATTACAGGTGTTGAAGCAGACTGAAAATGTTTTGTCATTGTCTCCTTCCTATCTCCTCTTTCTTTCATCTTTTGTCCTGTTTTTTTCTTTTTCTTTTTCCTTCTTCTTCTTCTGTTTTTCTGCTCTACTTACATTGCAGTGTCCATATGAACTGTAAAACTCCCTGCATAATTATAATAAACCAATTTATATACAAGAAACAAGTGTAGCAGTATGGCAATTGCCATACCGCTACACTTGTGAAAGTAAAATCTGTTGGGCTCCTTTTGGCATCAAGACAATTATTCTTATTGCCACCTTGCCAGACAGGACACTGTAAAAAAAAAAAAAAAAAAAAAAAAAAAAAAAAAGAAAAAAAAAAGAAAAGAAAACCCGGATAAAGAAGATCAAACAGCTATGATGCAGAGTTCTGCTGTATTGTGCTGTCTGTGAAGGCCAAAACCTGTCACTTTGGAGCACGGTGGTGGCAGCATCATGGGGTTAAGATGCTGCTTAACTAGTTTCTGCAGGGACAGAGGATCTGGTTCATGGGTCGATGAGGAAATGGATAGAGGGGATTATATGCGCAGAAAATGAACGGAAGGTGTAGAAGTAAGATTTCACTTTTAAAGCAGGAAAATGGTTTGCGGGTCAGAGAATAATGCATCTATTGAAAGCCGGTGGTGTTTTTCTAGACTGAAGATAATTAAGACAAAGTCAGTTTTGTGTGCCAAATGGTGCAAATAATCTGAATTAATGAGGTGGAAAGGCGGGAACACATGAATCGATCATATAAGTGTTTAAGTTCCTTATTTGTGGATTTTTCCAAAACAAAAATCAATAAAATCTGAAAAGAAAAACTTTTAAGCAGAGTTTTGCTGTATATTGTATTGTGCTCTCTGTGAAGGCGAAAAACCTGCCACTTTGGAGCACGGTGGTGGCAGCATCATGGGGAAGATGCTGCTTTTTTCTGCAGGGACAGAGAAGCTGGTTCATGGGTGGATGAGGAGATGTATAGAGGGGATTATAGAAGTAGAAGTAAGGCCAAGATTTCACTTTTAAAGCAGCTGTTATTGAAAGGGCTCCTTCAAATCAGTGGTAAAGTGAAACTGATGACCAATCTGAGAGCAGCAGCTGTTATTGTTGTGATATTGCTTCTGTTTTTTAAATCTCATAAAACTCCAAATAAAATATTGAGGGAATGTTTTTTGTTTGAACTAGATTAAATTTAAATTAACTTAATGTTTTACTGTCGGTTGTATAATATTGTTGTTTTTTGTGAAATTTGGAGCCGAACGTGAATGAATTTAGTCTCTATAGGATCCTGGAAACATTGAACAGAGAATCTCCCTCTGATCAGTGAATTTTTCTCTCTTCTTCTTGTGTTTTCCTCCAGCTCATCCTCACCTTTTCCTGATCTGCGCCCGCGGTGACATCTGGCCCCGGGGACATCGGCTCCTCGGCGGCGGACAGCGGGTGGAGGATCTCCGTGATGAGCTTCTGCCCCGAGCTGGCCAGGCCTCTCGGAACACCGACACTCATCCCTGCGGAGGGCGGGAAGACGCGGCCGCTTATCGGTGGAAAGGACTGTCCGGTGGGGAGCGGCTGGACGGACAGGTGAGGGCCCTCTCTGCTAGGCTCCTCTTCGGATGAGACGTTAACAACAACCGCTAGTTGATCACAACAGTCAGCTGACCTGTACTGCTCTTCTTCTTCTTCTTCTTGTTGTGTTTATTGGCGGTTGGCAACAAACTTAATAGTAGCATTACCGCCACTTACTGGTATGGAGTGTGGCTCTCGTTGGTCTAACGCTCTTTTTGTATATATATATCTATATATACTCATACATACACCTACCAACCCACACAAACAAACTTACATCCATATTTATATTCTACTCATCACTATCATCCACACATTCACTCTTATGTCTACTCTATCAAATTCTACTGAATATCTTAGTTTTCTTTAAGAATCTAATAACTATTTGTATATGTTTGCTCTCCAAACTTTCCCTCAAAATATCTATTAACATAAATTTTACCTTAATACTTTCAAATTCTTTTATCATACATCTTCTCTCTCTTTCATATTTATCACATTCTAGAATAACATGTTCTACTGTTTCCCATTCTCCACAATATTCACATTTACCAGTTGCATGTTTTTGAATTTTAAAAAGTGAGTAGTTAAGTCCAGTATGCCCAAATCTTATCCTGGTTATCACTCTTTCCTCTTTTCTATTTCTTTTTCCCTTTCTTCTTTCTTTAACCTTCTTCTGAATTTTATAAAACCATCTTCCTGTTATTTCTTCATCCCACCTTTTCTGCCACTTTTCCATCAGTTTTTCCTTAACCATACTCTTTCCTTCAGCTTTACTTGTTTTAACTTTAATGCTAATTGGTTTTTGAATTGCCCCTTTTGCTATTTTATCTGCTCTCTCATTTCCTTCTATTCCAATATGCGCTGGAACCCATACAAAAATAACTATCACACCCATATTTTTAATTCTATATAATGTGTGAAAAATTTCTAATAATATGTCCATTCTACTATCCGATTGCTTGTTTTTAATACTTAATAATGCAGAACTTGAATCTGAACAGATTATTGTTTTTACTGCTCTTCTTCTTCTTCTTCTCTTCTATTATGGCGGATCACAAGCAACTTTAAGGTGCATACCGCCACCTACTGTACATGAGTGTGTAGCAGCGTTACTTCACATCTATTAGATTCTATTTTTTAATTTTGTATTCTTAAGATACAAAAACAATGCTTTCCTTAGTTTATGAATATCTGTTATGTTTCCTTCATTTCATAATATTCCTTTAAGATTCCATTCATGCCCTATACTTCTAACTATTCTCTTTAATTTTTCCCTTTCGTGTTCATATAACTTACAGTTCATCAGTATGTGTTCTACATTTTCTTTTTCACCACATTTCTCACATTTCTCACTATTTTTCCTCCCTATTAAGTAAAGCATGTCATTTAAGTAGGTATGACCTATTCTTAATCTACTAACTATTATTTCTTCTCTTCTGTTTCTTTCATTAATGTTTCGAATTCGAACTGACTTTTGCACTTCATATAATCTTCTTCCTTTCCTATCTTCGTTCCATATTTTTTGCCATTCCTCCATTTCTTTACTTTTAATAAGTGATTTCCCTTCCCCTTTTCCAAAAGGAATTGAAATCGTTATTTCCCCCTCTAAAGCCCTTTTAGCTAATTTATCTGCCTTTTCATTGCCTTTTACTCCTTCATGTGCCGGCACCCAACAAAACCAAACATCAATGCCACCCCTATATAGTCTAAATAAAATATGATGAATTTCTAATACCAAATCTTTTCTATTATTTCCTTCTCCCTTAATACTTTCCACTACTGCTTTAGAGTCTGTGCACACCACCACCCTGATTGGTCGAATCTCCTCCACCCATTGCAAGCCTAATATAACTGCCACCATTTCTGCTGTAAATACCGACAATTGATCTGATATTCTTTTGTCCTGTACTGCTCAGCTCCGGATGTTCATCTACGGCAACCCGGAAGTACACATCAACAGCCGACAACCCAAAGATCGTCTAGTAGGAAGATGTGTCAGCTGGTTCTAACAATAAATAGCCATGAGCTAATGATTGCCCAATATAAAACATTTAAAACGTTAAGCGATGTGAAGTAGATATCATGGGGGGAAATATTCATATGAATAAGGTCGTGTTAACTCCTTAATATCCAGTGTCATGAAACAATCAGTCTCCATTATTTTTTAAAAAAACATCTACATTTATTTTAAATAATAGAGAATTATAGCTCACAATAAATATAGATATATACATATATATAGATATATCTATATCGATATATATATATATATATAGATATATACATATGCAAACACATATGTATATATATATAAAGATATAGATGTAGATGCACTGTATATATTGTATATACCCCATACACATGAAGCAATGTGACCAGTGAATTTCTCCACTGTGAGATCAATAAAATCTATCTTCTCTTATCTTATTTTATCTTATCAAAGGGGGTGAAGAGCTGTTGGACACAAGTAAAGAAAAGAAAAGGGGAAGGAGGGCAAAATTAAAAAAAGAAAAAAGGAAGGAAGACAGAGCAGAAAAGTAGCAAGGCTGCAAGTAAACTAGAGGAAATCAAATAGAGGTAGTAAATGTACTTAATGAGGTAGTAAATCCCTTTAATTTCTATGTATGGTGACTAAGAATGGATGAATAAGAATGATTAACCACCACATTTTTTTTCACTTTAAAATAGTTATAAAAAATCAATTAGAACATAATCATGATTCTATTTGTTTTTTTCTGTAATAAAATATGTAATTTTGGATAGCTGTATGTTGTTTGCTCTGTGAGACATGTGTTTTCCTTTGCTGTACTTTCTATTCCAACTTTTTGAGAACAACAATCGACAAAGACGTGTTTCAGCTCTGAGAAGGTTGCAAGTAGCCGGTTTGAATCCCACTGTCTCCACCCTGAGCAAGACCCTTAACCCCTGCAGAGGTAAACTTCCATTTACCTGTCATGCAAACAGGGAGCCTTGGGCAAGGTCCCTCCTTTGGGGGGTGGCAGCCTAGTGGTTAGGGCATTGCACTTCGAAACTTATGTTCAAGCTGGACTACCACTCTGGTTCTGGAACTTTATTTTTTCTTGGAAGTCATATTAACAAATTAAAAAGGTTTGAATACCATGTTTGAATATTTTTATATATTTAAAATGAAATCATGCTATAATTATTCCACCTTATGTTTTGTTTTTTGCTTTGTTAAAAATTCTACAACTTAATGTTTCCTTTTTTTTCTTCACATTAAACCTTAGAAAGTATTTTACGACGGAGTATTAGGGTCACATTGAGGGTCTTCAACCGGTGTGTAAAGTCGAAATATAGTGTTGAGAATAAATTTGAGCTGTCATTAATAAAAAAAGAAACATTGGATAAAGATGGATAAAATCAATAATGACGTCAGCAGACTTGAATAAAAACAGACATGGACTCGACAGCATGTTGTTTGGGGACGTTTTAAGCCTACATCCTCTGAAAGGGAGGTTATGAGGCTGTGACATTTTAGGCACTTTTAATAGTTTATTGTTATATATTCAATATATAAACACAATATTTCAACTTCATTCTCAACATTTTGACTTAATTTTTTTAAATTTTGGCTAATGCCTGCTTTGGGGAGTGGCAACCTAGTGGCTAGAGTAGGGGTCTTCAAAGTTTTCCAGGCCAAGGACCCCGAAACTGATGTTGAGATGGAGCGGGGACCCCATATATTGTATGAAATTGTGTTATATCTAACTGGTCCTATAGTCACTTTATTACAGATGGAGTAATAAAACGCTGTCCAGCTTAACAGAGCTCCTGTGTGTCGCTGAATGTGTGCATTGATGACAGAAAGACATCTTCTGCCTCCATTTATCTGTTTACTACAGTGTGTTGAATTCATGTTAATGTGTATTTAAAGACATTTCAATTAGTGGAAAAAAATGCAGAGGGAATATAAAAAAAAAGTATAATCAACCAAAACTTTCATGACCCCCAAGCAGTAGCTCCGTGGACCCTCTAGGGGTCACGGATCCCCTGTTGAAGACCTCCGGGTCAGTGCATTGCACTTGGAATCGAGGTTCTGAGTTCAAGCCCCACTCCCATAGACTGCCACTCTGGGTCCTTGAGCAAGACCCTTAACCCCACACTGCTGCCAGGTCGCTGCACAATGGCAGCCCACTGCTCCCCAAGGAAATGGGTAAAAAAAAACATCTTTTCTTTTCTTTTTTTTATAACTTTATTTGGAACAGTAACAATGACAAACTCAAACAATACAGCATAATAAAGCATAACATATAGTCAATCATACCTCCTAATACTTTTCTTAATTTTTATTTTCTTTTCTTTCAAGTTGTGAGGTAAACAGATGTTTAGTTTATGCAATATACTTCAGAAAGAGAAAAAAATCGAAATCCAAGGATATATATAATCACATATGTCGAATATAACAGAATTATAATTAAAGATAAACGAATAAATAAAAAATACAAAACCACTAAAATAAATAAATAAATAAAATAATTTTAAAAAAGCCAAGTAAGCATTATTCTTTAATTTGTATCGAGGGAGGGCTGAAATAAATTAGAGAGATTTTTAGAGAAATTTTGGTTTCTGAATTTTGTCCAAGGAAAGATTTAGAAGATGTTTAAATACAGACCACATAGGAAATGGGTTAAATAAAGAGAGTTGATTTAGTTGCTTTATACTTGTCACAATGTAATGACAATAAAACGCTGGAACTTAACTTTATATGAAAGCGGAGTGTTTCTATCAGCCCGCTCCGAGATTTAAGATGCAGGCCCGTACTGTATATCCGGTGTTTATTCCGCGAGGAATATAATAAAAGTGAGACCTCTTTACTTTAGCTCCATCTAAACTACAAACCGGGTTTAACATAGAAGTTAAATACGGTTGAACGCCATATGTTTCACCCCCCTGGCAGCGCTGTAGCTGTTATTCTGATGGGTTTGGTGTTTAATTAACTTTATTGAGTATTTCCTGTCAGGAAGTGAGCTACTTTATACACAGGCTACAAGCTAAGCTACAGAGCGTTCACCGGATTCAATCTTCCGTGTTGCAACATTAGCGGGTAGGAGTCCGCCTGAAACCATCGATAAACAATCAGTTCTGGTCACTTCTCTCTCAGTTATTGGTTTCTGGCCTTCAAACACATGGCTGCTAATCCACCGGGACAAGGTAATGAGTCTAAAACTATTTGTTTAAAAGTCATGTTTACTGCAGAGGCGGAGCAGCGAGTTTTAGAGACCCGGGGAAATGCATAACCCTGGCCCCCTTTGACCGAATCTAATAGATATTTTACAACTTAACCAGATTTTAGACCACCATGTTAAATATTTTTATGCTTTTTATAAAAAATGTTGTTATTTAGAGTGATGATAAAAGCACCAGTAAACAGGGTATTTTCATTCACCATTAATTTCTTGTCTTAATTGTAGAAACAATTTGTAAATCACACCTTCCTTCAGCTTCATCTGAATGATCAGTCTATTTTTACCAAAGCTAGAATGCTTGAGAAACTTCACTTTTAAAATCGTAAGAAAATCCTATTTAAATTTCAATTTATTCTGGCTTAAACATGTATACAAACGTACTCTTTATTTGACCATATTGTCCCAGAAGTTAGAAATTTTTCTATTTAAAAAAAAAAATCCTGTCTTAAAATCTGTTTGTTTTCGTAATTTTATGCAGGCCAGTTAGTTATATGTCAGCTTGTACACCTAAATTCAGCCAATCATATATCAACGGCTGTCTGTCAATCAAATTTTTTCGGTCATAGCATCTTGATTCATATGTCGCAGCTAATATATGCAACGGTTGAAGTAAGAATAATTTATTTTATTATTGAGTTTCATGCCAGTGTTCACAGGGATGGACGTTTGTGTCTTCAGCAGGCGTAGAGCTAACAGAACTGGCGGCGTTGCGAGGCGAGGGCTCAAACATTTACGGCTGTAAGCCTTCGACACCAAACCAAGCTTCTGCCGCCCTGGCGTCCTCTTACACAACAACTTCGTCCTCACTTTCCTCTTCTAAATAAAAAATGGATGACGGAGGAGACTCATCCACGACCTCCGACACAAAACTCTCCTCTTGCATGTTTGCGCTGTCCATAGCGTTCCTTGACAGTGTCGTTTCTAAGTCACCAATTTAGTGCTACTCGGTCCCAATGTAATTTCCCATTAGGAACCTACTAGCATTAAGTTACTAACTGGTTAGCAAGATACTTCAAACTGGCCACAACCAAACTTGCTCATGAACCTTCCGCCACAACAATCCCACCCCCTTTGATAAACGACCATTCACAATCACTTTATTCACTCGTGTAAAGTCGGGCACCACTCTGGAGAATTCAGAAATACAACGGTTGGAACAGCCGCTTTCCCTACGACTTTAAAAAAGCATAAACATATCCATCACAATCCATCCTGTTATAGTAATGTTTTGGGATTTTTTTCTTTATCAAGCCAGATTGCAGGAAAATGACTTTTGCTCGGTTTGCAGTGCAGCCCTCTGCTTTTTTTCTTGTCTGATATTTTCTGTTCTTTGCTTGTGTTTGTGGGCTGGTTGTTGTTACTTAGCCATCCCGAACAAGGCTCGCGTGGCAATCCTGGCAGAGTTGGAGAAGGAGAAGAGGCGTCTCAGGGAGACTCAGTCCATGAACGTTCCAGGAGCCAGGTAGAGACGGAGCCCGGCTGTGATTATTATAGTTACCACTGCAGGACATAAGTACAGCATGTTCCTTTGGAAGCAAAGAGGAAGTTATGTTCCATTTGTCCATTTTCTGACGAGAAACTTGACTTTATAACAGTAATTAGAAGAACTGAAACCTTCCTTCCTTCCTTCCTTCCTTCCTTCCTTCCTTCCTTCCTTCCTTCCTTCCTTCCTTCCTTCCTTCCTTCCTTCCTTCCTTCCTTCCTTCCTTCCTTCCTTCCTTCCTTCCTTCCTTCCTTCCTATTGGTTTATTAGGATGATCTCAAGTGATCTAAAACATATTGAATAATTAAACCTTTAAATTTGTGGTTTGGTGCAGCAAAGATTTAACAGCACTTCTTGTGAACATATGTTTACATCTTGGCATCCCTTCATCCTCTAGCATCCCGCTGTCCAGACCCAACATGAAGGAGTTCAGAGACAGCGCTGAGCTGCAGCACATCGCTGCCCAGCAGAGAGCTGCTTTGCAGGTTAGAAAACGATCTAAACCAAGAGTTTAGCTGCATACATCCACCGTCTTTATAACCCTGTTTTTTTTCTCTGTCTTTTCTTTTTAGCATGCTCATACACATTCTTCAGGCTTCTTCATCACTCAGGACTCCTCATTCGGGAACCTCATCCTCCCTGTTATTCCTCGTCTGGAGCCACAGTCATGACCTTTGATCCCCTGGTCTCCCTGAGACAAAAAGAAAGTCCTATTGTTCCCTTTGTTTTTAATTAATTCGTAGGTAATGAGATTTGATTCTTTCATCCTATTAAAAGAAATCCCTGGAGAGTCTGAATCTATTTCTCATTTTTCTGATTGGGGAAAGACAACCAGATATCCTGGGTCCCCCCCCATTCAGGTTTTTTCTTTTTTTTTTTTTTTTTTTTTTTTTTTTTTTGAGAAATTCTGGATAGCTTAAAGAATACCTCTATCAACCAAACTTTTAAACATTGTTTTGTTCATTAAATTAACTTTATTGCTTTCTTTGAAGTCATATTAACAAATTAAAAAGGTTTGAATACAATGCTTAAATACTTAAACTGAAATCATGCTGTAATTAGTCCACCTTATTTTTTGTTTCTGCTTTGTTAAAATTGTACAACTTAATGTTTCTTTTTTCTTTACAGGACATCTTAGAAAGTATTTTACGACGGAGTATTAGGGCCACATTGAGGGTAAAGTAAAAATTGAGGGAGGGATTTATTTCCCCTCTTCCACACCAGGTCTGTAAAGTAGAAATATAGTGTTGAGAATAAAGTTGAGCTGTCAATAAAAAAAGAAAAAGTAAGATGGATAAAATCATTAATGACGTCAGTGGACTTGAATAAAAACATCGGCTCGATGTTTGGTGACGTTTTCAGCCTACATCCTCTTAAAGGGAGCTTATGATGCTATGCAGTTTTAGGCACTTTAATAGATTATTAATATTATTCAATATATAAACACAATATTTTGACTTCATTCTCAACATTTTGTCTTAACTGACTTGGTGAGGAAGAGGAAAAAAGTATTCCCCCGTTTTTTTTTTACTCAATGTCGCCCAAATACTCAGTTGTAGTATTTAGATCTTCCTTCTCTATCTGTAATGGTTTTTTTTTAGTGTTTGTTAACTGGAAATTAAAAAGAAGATACTCCCAGTTTGAGAATAGAAAAAAAAACTTTTAAAAGTAATTTAAATCTTCAGCAACAAAAATTAGCATTTCTGTACAATTGTAACTTCAATTTTAGAAAAGGTTTAAATAGACATAATATGGACAATTATTCACTATAAAATTATAGAAAAAAAACTGAAACACCTTTTTAAAACCATGACTGACGAGGGTGGAAAAAGCATCTAGCTGCTACGGTTTAAAATGTACGTATAATTGGATGTCATCTGCAGAGATGTGGTTGAAGATATCAGAAAATAATGGAATAATTTCAGCTTCTGGAAAAACATAAAACGTAAATAATGGGCTCAGAACTGAACTTTGTGGAACACTGCAGGTTAGACGAGCAGAACCCGAGAGGAACTTTTATCCAGAACATTCTTTAAGATAAGGAGTTAACCAGTCTAATGTAGAGCAAAAAATATACAGTGAGGAAAATGAGTAGTCGGGTTTTATTTTGTCATTTTGAACACAAGTGTAAACAAAAATAAAATTTGTTGTGTACAGCTCTCTAAACTATTTCATTTCTTAAAGTGCAGGTAAGCAGCAGAGATAAAAAGTGTGATGAAAAAATTATATAAACATATGACTGTGCAGTTACAGTTCCAACATTTGAGATTTTATTTATTTATTTAATGACCTATTTTACATAACATTCAGCAGTCTAATGGCAGTAGGGAAGAAACTGTTCAGGAATCTGCTGGACCTGCAATGGATGCTTCGAAGTCTCTTTCCAGAAGGCAGCCGGGAGAACCGTCCATGTTGGGGGTGTGAGGGGTCATTTATGATGTTACCGGCTCGGGACACGCAGCACTGGGATGTATGTGAACACATTGCTATTTTGTAAGTTCTCCCACTTACAAAATCATGGATGGGTCTGAAATTGTCATCTGTTAGACACAATCTAAAAAAGGAATCCCGTAATCACAATGTATTATTTCTTAACAAACCAATGTTAATATTTGGTACAGTAGCATGTGTTTGCAATCACAGAGGTCAAACGTTTCCTGTAGTTTTTCACAAGGTTTGCACACACAGTAGGTGGGATTTTGGCCCACTCCATCCACACAGATCCACACAGGTTTCTGAGGAACATGGAGTTAAAGCACCCTCCAAAGATCCTCTATTGGGTTTAGGGATTGAGACTGGTCAGGCCACGCCAGAACCTTGATATGCTTTTTACAGAGCCGCTCCTTGGTTATGCTGTCTGTGTGCTTTGGGTCATTGTCATGTTGGAAGACCCAGCCTCCACCCATCTTCAATGCACTGAGGGCAAAATCTTGAAATACATGGCCCCAGTCATCCTCTCTTAAATGCAGTGCAGTCCTGTCCCATGTGCAGAAAAAAAAAACCCCGAAGCATGATGCTACCACCCCCATGCTTCCCAGTAGGGATGGTGTTCTTGGTATGGTAATCATTCTTCCTTCAAACACAGCTAGTAGAATTATGACCAAAAAGTTCTATTTTAGTCTCGTCTGACCACATGACTTTCTCCCATGACTCCTCTGGTTCATCGAAATGGTAATTAGCAAACTTAAGTCAGACGTTGACATGTGCTGGTTTAAGCAGGGGACCCTTCCATGCCATGCATGATTTCAAACCATGATGTCTTAGTGTATTACCAACAGTAACCTGGAAATGGTGGTCCCAGGTCATTGACCAGCTCTTCCCATGTAGGTCTGGACTTATTTCTCACCTTTCTTAGGACCATTGAGACCCCACGAGGTGATATCTTGCATGGAGCCCCAGTCTGAGGGAGATTGACAGTCATGTTCAGCTTCATCCATTTTCTAATTATTGCTCCAACAGTGGACCATTTTTCATCAAGCTGCTTTCCAGCCTTAAGGAGGTGTACAATTTTGTCTCTAGTGTCTTTGGACAGCTCTTTGTTTGGTTTTGGTCATTTTAGTAGTTGGATTCTTACTGATTGAATGGGGTGAACAGGTGTCTTTATGCAGCTAACGACCTCAAACAGGTGCATCTAATTTAGGATAATAAATGGAGTGGAGGTGGACATTTTTAAAAGCAGACTAGCAGGTCTTTGAGAGTCAGAACTCAAGCTGATAGACAGGTGTTAAGATACTTATTTGCAGCTGTATCATGCAAGTAAATAGTTAAAAAAATCTTATATTGGGATTTCTGGATTTTTTTTAGATTGTGTCTCTCAAAGTTGACATTCACCTACGATGACTATTTCAGACCCCTACATGATTTCTAATTGGGAAAACTTGCAAAATAGCAGGGTGTTCAAATACTTCTGTGGTCAACAGTTTGAAAGGCAGTGCTGAGATTAAATGGCACCAATAACGACCATTTTTCTGGATGAAGTAATACTTTTCTATGTAAGGCAAAAAATATCAGTATTGACAGGCTTTACTTTGAAGTAATTTAGTCCCATTTTAAACAGCTTTGGTTTATTCAGCATAAGGAATTCCTACAGGAGGCTGGCATACAGTAGCTCCTCTTTTCCCTTTTCTGGGTGATGCAGCCTCCCACAAACTTCTACTGACCCCAGATGGTATTTAGGACTCTTCTGCATCTGATTCTATAGTCAGGGACCAGTTATAGGAAAAACCTAGATTATAGCCTTACATTGCAATAGTGTGTCAAGAAAAGCCAAGACAAGCCTCCTTTCCCACTACAGCAACAAGCAATGTGCTGCAGACGGTGCCCCATTCCCATTTTAATGTACACTCTCCAGCCTTGTTATTAAAAAGAGTTTTTTTTTCATCTGCTAGGTTAAAGCTGTTAAATCCCTTTAAGATTTTGTTCCACACTGACGCAAAAAAACATCATGCAGTATTTGCAGATTTATTAGTTGTGCATCCATAATATAAATCATCAATTCAATCGTATCCAAATGCTGCTCTGCTGGATGGAGACCGGTGGAAACCATTGGAGCACAGAGGAAGTATTGTCCTGTCAAAAAAAAAACATAAAAAGATGATTTAAGCTTCAAATGACTGGTACACTGATTTCCAATGGGTAAAAAATATGCTCTTCAACCATATTGAGGGATAGTGAGGTGTTTAAACAAGGCTTAAAGCTATAGTGAAGGATGTTCTTTTTTTCCAGGTGGATCATCAGAATAAGTGGTCCTCCTAATTGTCAATCATTCTGGTGACGTTTACGTAAGGCTGTCCTACGTGCTCGACCCCGTTGTCATTTAACAGTGGTGAGTCTGACATGGTAGTGGAAAAATTCCAAACTTTCTTTGGAAAGTAAGCTTGTATGAGCGTTGCAAACAACAACTTTTAAACAGCGTGCACAAGGAGATATGGTCTTGTGCACGCACTCGCACGTATTTAATAGGCCTTTCTTCTCTGGAGCGGGTATAGGGTTGTGCATTTTTACTTATTCATTTTTTTCTTTTAAGTGGAGAGGTCAGGTATTTTCAAACGTTTGCAAAAATCTTCCACTATATCTTTAATTAGTAAATAATTTTATATTGAATAAATATTATATACTCATCATAGGTAGTAATTGTAATGTTAGTATTAGTATTTGTACCCAACTATCTTTTAAAATGGGGAAAATAAATTTTAAACATTTCCGAATTCTTCACATTGTTGAAAGAAAGGAAAGAGTTCAAAACGTGTCAACTGGAGGAGGACATTAATTTGATTATACTGACCTCTAGTGGACAAAACAAGAAAGCGCTTTGTGAAGACTTTTTTTCTCAAAATGCTGACGTTAATCTCAGAATTCTGACTCTTTTTTTCGTAGAATGCTGACTTTAATCTCAGAATTCTGACTTTTTTTCTCAGAATTTTAACTTTAATATTAGAATTCTAACTTTTTTTCTTAGAATGCTGACTTTAATCTCAGAATTCTGACTTGTTTTTCTCTCAGAACGCTGACTTTAATCTCAGAATTCTGACTTTTTTTCTCAGAATTCTGCCTTTAATCTCAGAATTCAGAATTTTTTTTTAGAATTCTGACTTTAATATCAGAATTAGAATTGATGGGCACCATGAAGGAAGAGATGTGGGAGATGTGCGTTGAGAGAGCTAGTCTCTAAATTCAGAGATTAAAGTCAGAATTCTAATACAAAAAGTCAGAATTCTGACTTCCTTTTATCATCATTTTATTTCCCATATAAAACTGAAGTAATATTTAAAAATCTGTTAACTTTTTTCATTTTTTC